CATGTACACTCTGAAACGCACCCTTTGAACAAGTAGCCTTTGGACGACGCGACGCAGCGAAATTGTTCAGTAGTAGCTATCAAATGTTGAGAATTAATCAATGTTGAGTCACTCAAACACATAGTTTCGATAAAACTGATAACAATTGATACTGTATTTACTACTAATAAATGAAACTTCAACAGTGATAATAATTATGATAAAGAACAAACAACGAAATATATTTCCACAAAGATAGTGTTCGAGATGTCTACCAGCTTCTCCTACATACAGGCGACACCTTTTCTGAACGTTTTTTTGCCGAATTAATTATTTCAGTAGAAGTGAGAGAAGAAAAACGTTGCATCACTGCCGCTTCCAATTCGTATCTAGAATTCGATAGGAATTCAAAAATAAGATTTTTCAACCTTCCCCAGAGGTAAAAGTCTATAGGCGTTAGGTCCGGGGACCTGGCCGGCCAACGGTTGGGTCCTTGGTTGGCTATACAATTATTACCAGAATTTGCAGCCAAAAAATTGGTAACAGTTGCAGTTTTGTGAGGCGAAGCCCCGTCATGTTGAAAATATATTTTTCTGAGCTCCATTAGTGGCAGTTCATCAACAAGAGGTTCTATATTTTCCATTAGAAATGAACGGGCCGATAATTCTACCCCTGAAAAGACCTGCCCTCATACTAAATCCAAATCTTCCTTGACTTCTCTGCTCCTTAATTGAATGAGGATTTAGTTGTGCCCAAGTATAAGAATTGTAGCGATTGAAAATGCAGGCACTGCTCACACAAGCATCGTTTGTACAAATACAATTTAACGAAAAATCACGCACTTGGTTAAAACTTTCCATGGAACCACTGGCAAAAAGCCATGCAGCGTTCAAAATTTCCTGGTCTCAATTGATGAACTCTTTTGGGCCTGTATGGCTTGAATTTGTGTTTTTCCATAATCCTCGTAACGTTGGTTCTTGGTAAGTCTGTTGATATTTTCAAATTTCGCGTTGACGTTTTGGGATTATTTTCAACAGCTCCTTAAACGACTATTCCTTTCTACACCTTATTCCTATTTGATTCATATAATATTAAAATAAAATTTTGGAATATGGTTTCTATTGAATTTTCATTGAATACAGAGCACGGTACCCCAGAGCATAGACAGACATAGTTAGACCCATGATAACATACGGTGTAGTGACTTGGTGGACAAGAACAAGGCATTTTTCACAATTTTCCTGTATTTTTTCACAAGTTAATTGCTGGAAAGAAAATAAATAAATAAATCGGGTACGGCTAGCCTATTAGGCGGCATACAAAGGCTGGCGTGCCTAAGTGTCGCGGGAGCAGAGAGAACAGCCCCAACTGCAGCACTTAAGGTCCTACTCGGACTACCACCAATCAGCCAGTCACACGGTGCAGAATACTTGAAACTGTACAATGAACTGAAATCAGATCCAATACAGTTCCGCAGTACAACTTTCAGAAAGATTTCAAAATCATCATACCAAGAAGAGACTGACAGAACAGCCCACTGGTGAAAGCGGAAAAAACTTGGTATACAGATGGCTCGAAGGCCTAAGAAGAAGTGGAAGCCGTTATATACAGAGGCAGAGCAAAGACGAGAATCACACTCAGCCTCGGACATAATGCAACTGGGTTCCAGTCAGAAGTAGCGGCCATCGAACACTGTATAGGGGAAATAAACAGGCAGAAGGTCACAAATAAAACCATTGCCATTTTCTCCGACTGTTAGGCGGCAATTAAGGCGGTCACTCTAGCTTGGGTACCCAGACATGAGGCTCACAAGGGCAATGAGGAGGCCGATCTTCTAGCTCATGAAGGCGCATCCAAGGCTATGATCGGCTCAGAACCCTTCTGCAGGGTAAAGAAAGCATGTATCCATAAATTCATGCATCCATAAATTCATGGATGCAAGCCGAATTGATAGATTGGTGGAATAAGCTTCCAGGAATGGGGTGAGCGAAAGAATTCATAAAGAAACCATCGGCATCGTCCAGATTCACGGAAGACCTCTTAAACCACAACCGTTGTAAGGGTAGTGGTGGGTCTACTAACGGGGCATAGCCGACTCAGGAAATATATGAGCAACATGGGTCTGACAGAAGAATCCCAATGCAAGTTCTGTCAAGAAGAAGAGGAAACCGCACTGCATGTGCTCTGTGAATTCGAAGCGATAGCAAAGCTCAGACACGCAAGATGCGGGGAAGAGAAACCAGAGGCTGCCAGCTATATGAAGAGGTCAGTGTCAAGGCTATGGAGTCTTATAAAAGAGGTCAACCTAGACAATGAGCTCTAACTACCAAGGAGCATCACAACAGATCTGAAAAGGTCGCAGTGCTGAAAAGGCACAGTATCTGAGAGCACAGTATCTAAGAGCACAGTACCCCAAAAATCCTTCTGATGCCATTCAGGCACGAACATAATAATTTAGGATTGATGACGCAATTATATCATTTCCTCCATAACCATAACCACCAGGTCATATATTTTTTGATGGTTCTACAAAAGAAATGTATTTACTCTGTGTTAATTTCATTCACTACTAATCAATTTCATCTGCACCAAAGTTCCTCTGGATTATCAGCATTTTTTACAAGAGAAGTATAATGCTCATATAAGTCAACGAGAGAAGATAAGTGGTCCCAATATAGAGCCTTGAGGATCTGTTTGTCAATCGATACTCATCATTTTCAACAATTGAATATAGTTATCGCAGTCATTAATGTCAAAAGATTGATAGATTAAGTGAGTCGTAGATATACTCCGAAGAAGTGTAGAATTAACTCATGTGATGCAATTGATTGATTCCTGAGGAAATTACATAATGTATTCAAGTAACATTTTCATCTAAAAGCCGAAGTGAATACAATACCTTCTACTAAACGAATTTTTCTATCCTTGTCGGCAGAACTCCTACTGAATTAACCTTTTCGTCTTCTTCCAGAAAGTAATGAATGTCTAAATATCACGTGAACACAGTTCCTAATGTATATCCGAGTATGCCATGGAACTGCTTTCTTGCTTCCACCTTAAATCTCAGATTTATCCAGGTCGACAGTTACGGAATTCTGGACGGGCAATCTTGCGATAATTAGTTTCGTACGGGTTTGAAGATTCATGGACAACAAGCTAGCGGTTACCTGGAAAATTTATATGGTGGGTGAGGAACGTCTTTCCTGCAACCACAAAAACTGCACAGCCATGATAAGTGGAGTTTGGGAATGGGGGTCATTCGGACGTATATGAAGGGTCTTTCAGAGCTTTCTGTGAATTTTCAAGATATATTGTTTCACTATTCAACTGGCATGGTCTCAAATTTATTTATTCATTTATTTATTTCATACACAATTCTACAGGATGAACCCAATTACAGAATAGGTAGTAACAGTGGCATTTACAAATATGTACTTACATAATATAATTTGTGAATCTACAGTGTCACACATAAAGTCCGCATCAAATGGGATTTTTTTTTGTTCATCTCTTCAAGCAACTTTTGATATCTCCATTAGGTTGTGCTTTAAAATTGACATGCATATGACCGATCAAGTGATTTTTCTTCCCTGTCCAATTTGACATTTTTTCCAAAAAATGTTCAGAAAAGCAGTTATTGCTCGAAATTTCGAAAATCGGTAAAGAGAAAAGATGATTGTTTTTTCATTTTTTACCCATACACCAATTTTTAGCTCTCTAGTACAAATTTAGTTTTTTTACAGTTTTTCGAAAATTTGACATTTGCAGATTTCTCAAATTTAGCCAAACCTCAACAAAGTTAGTGCTTTATGCCTAACTTATCTTTCCAACGCATTTTTATTACCAATTGCAATTCTAAATACAACTTATTTCGCAAAAATTTAAAACACCAGAAAAAATTATGCCAAAAATGATGCAAAGTTGATACAGTTTTTAAAAACAGATAAATATTTCACTTTATTTCTACTTTTTGCGAAATAGCTTGATACATAAGCATAATTAAAAAACAATATCAATGAAAAGTCAATAATTTATTCTTTACTGCACTTTTCAAACAGTTAAACTTTGATTTACTAATTATGAAAAATTACAACGCAATTAAACTAAGGGTACTGTGGAAACAATTGAACTGAACTGAATAAGCAAAATATTTTATTGTCATACGACATTTGTTGAATAACTCAAAATAGTGTTTATCAGTTTTAGATTTAAAATAGTTTATTCGTTGTCTAGTGTGTTGTTAAAAATGCTGAATCTTCAAGAGAAAATTGAAATCGTTTTAATATGCGGCGAGAATACCGGTCGTCAGCATAACTAATAATGTGAGCTTAATTTGTGTCTGAGTTAATGTTGTTTATGTCATTGATGAATATGATAAACAGTATCGGACCTAGTATACTGCCCTGTGGAACTCCCAAAGATGTATCCAAGACCTCTGATCGTAATACTCGTATTTATTGATTCTGATTGAACTATACTTTTACAAATCAGGAAATCGGATATAGTTTTTATTAAAACATGCACTACGAAAGGAGATCATTCAAAACATGTCTCGATAAAATATTCATACGTCTATATCCTTTTTGTAGATTTTGGATTGTCTCGACATTCACTCTAACGAGAATCGAAACAGAAGTTATCACATCTACTGCATTTAACCTATGCTAGAATGTTATCTTTGCCCTTCCTGTAATTTTATGAAGCAGACATTTTTGTAACGTTGGCTCAACCCGTCGAACATCATATGCTCTCTTATCTTTTATCATTTTTTAATCTATGATACATCTACAGTTCTCGGAAACACGTTGTGAAGTCTCACTTGTGATAGTAAACGTTAAAATCCTGAACAGGAACAAAGCATATTTCGTAGCAATGGCATTTTCATCACCACCCATGAATTATTTGAGGTTAAACAGTATTATTATGGATGTTCTCATTTGTTGTTTTATCTCCGATGTTATTGTGATATTCACAGTGAGCTTTTAATTAATCATTCTCAACTCTTTTTCTATTTGTTGCAGATGCTGTACTCAAAGCGCCAGATGATCATGGATTTCAGAACTCTTTATCTTTTGGCTCTCTGGATCATATCAGTGTCTGCTCAAGAAGACTGGGAACTACACTGCAACAAATGCCATTGCCTCTGGGTGAGCGGCAAGAAAACTGCCAACTGCGCAGGTCGCGGTTTTGACGTCATTCCTGATGACCTCAGTGTCGACATCAGAGAAATCGATTTCTCCAACAATTTCTTCTACTCTCTTGAACGAGACGTATTCAGTAAAGCCCACTTATCAGACGTGCAGAAACTAAAACTACAAAATTGTAGCATAGGAAAAGTGAGTGAGTTGGCTTTTAGCAAATTGAGGATCATCATCGAACTGAACCTCGCCATGAATAGCATCGATAAGTTGGATAAAAACTTATTCAGAGACACCATCAAATTGAGAACTTTAACGCTGAGCTATAACAAAATCAAAGTTTTGGAAGAAGGCCTGTTTTACAACCTGACATTCTTGCAAAAAATTTTGTTGGACCATAATGAAATTGAGAACATTTCTGCGAAGACTTTCGAAATCTTGCCGTCACTGAAACACATTTCCTTGGCGCACAATAAAATACAACGAATCACTTTCGATATGAAAGATAATTTGCCAAAACTTAGCAGTTTGAGTGTTGAGGGAAACCCCTGGGAGTGCGATTGCCTTCTGCGTGAATTCAGAAACAGTGCTCAGAAGAACAATCTGATAACCACCTCCATAACGTGCCAAAACCCTCCCAGATTGCATGGTCGTTCGTGGTTAGATAATATTATATTCGCGTGTGATCCTAAAGTAGTGGAAGCTGGACCATCCTCGACAATTGAAGCCCGAACTTCCAACGTGACTCTAACCTGTAAAGTAATTGGAGACCCCATTCCAGACGTAGACTGGATGACCAACGGAGCCATCATAGAACGAGACCCAAGAAGAAATAAGCAGAAGTACATGACTTCCAAAGACACGATAGATGGGGTCACGTGGAACAACCTGACCATCATCAGCGTAAGCTACAAAGACCGTGGCGACTACAAATGTATAGCCAAGAATCCAGGCGGCGAAGATTCCAGAAACGTCACGATTGTCGTGCCAAGCGATGCTTTTCTTGGACCTGGCATGATAGGCACCTACTCATCCAGCACCTACTTGATAATCGGTTTGTCGATAGGTTTCTTGGTGGTGTTACTCATAGTCCTCGTCATCCTCTTCTGTTTCTGTAGAAGAAGTACTCACGGTTTCCATTCGAAGAGGAGGGATAATGAGGGTAGTACGGAGGAGTTTGGTATGAGCACGGGGCAAGCGGATGTGAAGAAGGGGCTAATCACCGATATTAATCCAGTCACGAAGCCACCACGCTCCACAGTGCCGCCATCTGTTGTCAGTGGAGGAACTGAAGTGAGCGATGTCAAGAGAAACTTATTGGACAGCGACTCTATGTTAGGTGAGTAGAAGTACGCTTGTTTTCACTTTATCAGTTACGCTTTGATCGGTATTACTGTTTGTGACAATCAGGAATTCTCTTTACTGGCTGACTGCATTTGCTCATTCATATTTTTTTCTCCTACGAGTTATTCCGTACATGATATCTTTTCTTTGATTCTGCCGGGCAGAACTAGCCTTTCTGGATAGAAATCTGCACCTTCAGAGTATGGTATGTTTTATACACGATACTCAGAGGTCAGCAAACTGTGAGTAAGGATGTTAGACAACTTGGCCACACCTGCTGTAGTCTTTCAATTGTATGGTAACGTATTTCGAAAGTTTTTTAAATACCTTGAAGTAGGCTGATCCTAGCTCCTTCCAAGACAATGATAGATTTCGTCAAAAGTCTAAAATATTTCTTGCAGTCTACTCTAGGTTTGGCAGAGCCTAAAGCGTTACTCATAATAAGTTCTTGACCGATGAAAGCGCCTGCAGCGCCGTCGTTACCTTCCAGGCCGGTGTTGAGAAGAATCCAGACCAGAAATAATTCTAAATCTTCCTATTGAGGAGAGGATTTTTGGTAGTTCATGAAACCTCCGTCGTTACCTTGCAGGCCAGTGTTGAGAAAAATCCAGACCAGAACCATTTGTAAATCTTCCTATTGAGGAGGGGTTTTTTTTGGAGTCCAGTACCAACAAATTAGGATCAATTTGGTCTGCTATGAAAATATGCACAATTATGTATGTTGTTCAGTTCTCTGTACAGAAAGGTATGAAGAGGAGGCAGGTCTGAAAGGATTTCAATGGACTCTGTCGATATGGGGCTGATGGTACCGTACATAGCCATGCAAGTCAGAGTCTGTACACCAGAGAACTGAACCGTAAAGAATTCGGCCACCAGGAGATAGTTGTTCCTCAAAGATCGCTAACATAATATAGAATATCTGAAAATATAGAAAACTAATGAAAACGATAATAAAAACACAATACAAAATAAACAGCGTGAAAATATAGATACTGAAGGGCATCATAGGGCAATAATCTGTAATACCAAAAAAATATATATATTCTATCAATTTGGTCTTGACTATCAAGAAATTTGCGTTTGTTCCCAGCAGTACAAAACCTGGCAAAATGGTTAAGGCTTTCGCTCGTGCGAGTGGCTAGCTTCTTCAGAGGTTTATACATCCTGAGAATTCTCCGATGACTGGATATTACGGCTGCGTAGAGCGTATTTATGTTGACTCTGCAGGTAGATTGGTGTGCTAATACCTGTACCTGGATTAGGTAAATTGTATAAATTACGAAATATACCTAATCCAGATACTGGCCACTCCCACCGGCGAAACGTCAGGAAGACTTTCCAAAAATTGACGTCCGTCAATCCGAAAAATAGTGAGTGACCAAACCTGATATGATTTCCAGTCCTATATTATTTTTGTGCTACTGTGAATGAAACCAATATGAATGAAACCAATATCTAATACAATACAACTTTTTAACCACAATTTGATATATTTTCCAGCCTAGGAATAGTTCAAAAGTTACTGAATATATATCCTTTGAGTGAATATTTTTTCCAATTACCAAATGTGCCTTGTTCCTGCGGAAGTTTAATTTAGAACGTTTGTCTTTGTTCATCTTGTTTATTCAATTTTATAGTATGTTTGTGTCAATTTTCCTGTTTAATCCTGTATGAAAACAATTGGGAGCGTAATTTGTAAATAAAAAGTTTTTGACGGTACGTAACCCCTAGTTTATAATAATGCAAGGTAAGGTAAGGTAAGGTAATGCAGAGAGGTAAGGTAAGGTATCCATTTTTTACGTTCACGAAAAAGTAAAGTATGAAGAATTGCCGTAGTGATTATAGGTTTTGGTAATTTTTTGGATATATCCGCTTTTTGATTGGTCGGAGGTAAGAACGCAACGCAGGAAGTTGAAAGTAGCGAACTTGTTACCTTGCGTTACCTTGCCTTACCGACGTTACCTTACCTTACTTTTTATCCAGAACACAAGTGCGTTTTCTCAATACTTCAACTTTCTTACCTTACCTTACCTCGTTACCTTGCGTTTTTATAATTTAGGGGTAAGTATTCGCCCGTTTGGGTGAATTTATGACACTCAGACATAATCATGACATTTTGACCTGTCATTGTCAGTTAAAACTTGAAATATATTAGGTTGTTTCAAACGTTTTGTCCGTTTTCATGAGACTACTTCAAAAGTGCATTTTACACCAGCCGCTGACTAAACCATACAGTAACCATGGTCTTTTTTTGGTGAGCTTTCGCTTTTGGAAAGTGCCTGCATGGTTCATTGGTATCCAACCGCTGTTCTGAACGTCTCCTGATTTATTTTTTGGGTTGTTTTGGCAGCGTTTTGGTTCAATTTGAATTCGTAGAGAAAAATTGGTCGAAAATTGCTCAACATCATCATATATACTTATAAATATTGTCACTCAGTTAACACTCACTCATTCATCTCTGCTTCTCGGTACTGGTAAGTCCTAGGACTTACCTAACATGGAACTCTCATCTACAGAGTGGAGCAAAAAAAGCATATGTGGCTTATGAGCAATGTCGGAGGACAGTGGGACGCGCATGGGGTCTTTCACCCCGTGTGGTCACCTAGATCTACACTGCAATAATAAGACCTTTGTTAACGTACGGAGCCATTGCATGGGGACCGAAAGTTCTACAATCAACGGCCATCCAAAAATTATATCAAATACAGCGACTGGCTTGTTTAAACATCACAGGAGCCATGAGAACAACACCCACCGCGGCAATGGAATCAATTACGGGTCTGACCCCTGTGGACCTGAACGTTAAGAAGGTTGCGTTATTGGTCATGGTACGATTGCGCACGGCTGGTGTAAACCTTGAAGTAGGAATGGGTCAATTGAGGCTGGGCCTATGGCGAAAAGTGCTTACTGCGCAACCTCTGCTGCAGGCAACCGGTGATGCAATTGAACCCGGGTTTGTGTTTAATGAACCCTACAAAATACTAATGAAACAGAACACAGAGTCAGATGCTACAAATGCAATACGCATAAATATACAGACGGCTCAAAAACCAAAGAAGGTTCAAGATGTGGAGTGTACTCTAGATCACTAAGCCTAAGAATTATGTGGGGAATGGGAAAAAAATACCAGTGTAGTCCAAACAGAACTGGCTGGTATCTCAATCGCCACAAAAAAATAACCAGGAAGAGAATTTCTGGCAAAAACATAAAAATCTGCACTGGCAGCAGACAAGCCTTATTAGCCTTGATCAGACAACGTGTAACCTCAGGGCTAGTACTAGATTGTCACCAAGATTTAGCCAAAGCCTCAGCAGATAATAACATAATAACCATAAAGGTAGTCGCATTGCTGACTCTTTAACCAAGGAAGCCACTGGACTAAAAATTTTAGGACCCAGTGACACCTACGGCCTGATGACTTCGACAATTGCGGAACTAGTTACAACCATGCTCAATCCTTTAAGAGATGGGATGGAATCAAAGGATGCAATCTTTCCAGGATCACCTTGGACGACCCTGGGAAGCTGGCGCCGAATAAATGTAGGCGATGACCAGGAAAAATCTACGCTTAACAGTAGGATTTCTGACTGACACCTCCATGATATGTAGCTAGTGGATACACCTCTAAGCAGGATGTTTGAACAGGAAGGCATATCCTATGCGAGTGCCCGGAGTTATCGTCAATAAGAGAGTGTGTGTTAGGCGAGTCTTGGCCGACACCTGCCAATATAAAGCAGATGTCTCCTAAGTGCTGTGGACTTACACTCACCCTTTCTACTCTACAGATACAGAGAGAAGAAAGGATTTTCAGATATTCCCCGTGGGGTGGAAGGGGCACGTTCACAAATGAAAATTACCTTTTCATCACTGTTTCTCCATGCCGATATAGTTTCGGAGACTGAAATTTTGTAGGTTCGTTTCATGTTATAGATGTGCAATAAGAAAGCATTTTTGAATATTCCAACTGGGGCGCCAGCCACGAGAAAAAATGGCGCGTCCATAAAAATTTTTCATCAGTGTTTCTCCATGCCCTTAAATTTCCGATGGGTGAATTTATAGTATCAGCATTGCACCCGTGCGGAACCGAGGCAGCTTGCTAGTATAGTATAAGCTGAAAAAGGCAAAAAATTTAAATTTGGAAAAGCATCAATGTATAGAGTACAAAATTCTCCCTCGACCAATATATACCACGACAAATCAGAATAAATATTGATTTGATTGAGTTATGCGGACAAAACTTTTGACATAATATAGTATAAGGCATAAGCACCATATTGAAACGTAAATCACTCCTAAGTGAAACTTTTTCTTCTACAAATCAGCATTCTCTAATGAGGAACTCGTCGACATAATAATGTTGTTCGTGTACTCGTAATTACAATCACGTAAACGTCATCAATCTTCACTAATTTCGTTGACATCACTGCGGTGTTTCTGTTTACTCTTGACTAGGTACTTCAAGGAGTAGGTACATACCTCTGACCATTACGACTTGATAGAAAGAATAAATGAAATTGTACACCGGGGAAAGACGTCATTCGATCTTTACCTTTTGTGTTTCACGTCGAGTCATTTATGGCTTACATTTTTTATGTCTCAGCCTGCAATTCGTATTATTCCGTTCTCTTGGCTCGAGCAGAATTACGGCAACGTAAAATTTTTTTTTTACAGAAAACAATTCGGTTTTTATGTTGCGAAATTCGGGAAGTTTTCGGGGCTTTGAGAAATTGAGTTATGCGCGTAAGTGGGGTAGATGTAAAAAATGTTTTGTTATACGCCCATGAATGTTTTGTGAAGCAACATTGGTTGCTTTTTTCGTCCTCCCTTTTCCAGTTGACTGCTGATATATGCTCGTTTTCTTATGTTGCTGTGTCTTGGTTATGGGTTTTTATTCAGATTTCTTCGTCTAAAATGTTTCATCCTATTTTGTTAAGGAAAAAATGGGAGCTGTCAGGAATATATCTGAAAGAATTGATTGTTTTTTTCATGCACATTGAATTCTAAATTATAAAAGGCAGTCGGAGATGTAGCTCTTCATCAAAGTAGTTATTTCTGAAGATTTTTTTCATTTTGTGAAATTCAATTCTCATTTGAAAGTAGTTGTTTCGAAAAGGTTTTTTGTATCAGTTTGTATCTGAGGGAAACTTGTGCACCTTTAACACATCTTTGTTGAGAGTTTGAAATGTTCATATTCTTTCTTTTGGTGCTGATGTAAAAAATAATACGTGTTGTCACGAAACTTAGAAGTACACCATTATATCAATGCTTTTTATATATAACGTCGTGCGGCATTCCAAAGAATGCTGTGTTTCAGTTCCTTAACGAATATATGGACTACAAACTCAATTGAAAAAAGTGATTTTCGTGTAATTCAATGTCCATGCGAAAGTAGTTTTTTTGAAAGGTTTTATCTTTCATTTTGATTTCATTTTGAAAAAATGTATGAAATCCTTATTGGAATCGATAGAACGATCAATATAATTTAATGTATGAAGATGATTTCATGCAAATGTTGTCCGCGGCTCCGCTTTAGATGGCCCATGCGCAAGGTCCAATTTTGGCACACTCTCTTCAACATATCGACCGGTATTTCACGTATAAATGCTTCAATACTGGCTTCCAGAGCGTCAGTCATTGCTGGTTTATCCCTCTGTAGACATGAACCTCAACATGACCCCACAAGAAATAATCCAAAGGCGTTAAATCACACGATCTAGGTGGCCAATTGACGGGTCCCAAACATGAGATAAACTGTTCACCGAAGGCGGCTCTTAATTGGGCCATTGTTTCGCGTGCCGTGTTACTTGTGGCTCCGTCTTATTGAAACCACATATAAGGCATGTCCAATTCTTCCATTTTGGGCAACAAAAAGTCGTCAATCATCATACGGTAGCGCTCGCCATTCACAGTTCCATTCCGGCCATTGTCGTCTTTGGAGAAGTACGCCCCGATGATGCCACCGACCCATAATTCACACCAAACAGTGACTTTTTCGGTATGTATCGGTAGCTCTTGCAATGCTTGTGGCTGGTCTTCACTCCAGATGAGACAATTTTGCTTGTTAATGTATCCATTCAACCAGAAATGAGCCTCGTCGCTGAACACAATTTTTCGATAAAAATGTGGATCTTCCTCCAACTTTGCCAGCGCCCATTCACAAAATGTTGGACGTAGTGGGAAGTCGTGTGGCTTCAATTCTTGCAATTCTTTGCGTTTCGCAAAATTTTCCACGTAGTGGAGTAACAGAGGCCCGATTACTGCGAACGGCGGCGAATCAACATTTCACGGTCGTCACGAACACTGGCGGATACAGCCGCAATATTTTCTCCGGTCCTCACTCTGCGTATGCGTGTTAGTGGTTTAATGTCCAATAATGTAAACTGGGTTCGAAATTTAGTGACAAGTTTCCGAATAGCTCCCTCAGTAGGCCGACTCAACTGCAAATAAATTGGAAGAAGTGCACGATGCACTCTCTTCACCGAGCATGAATTTTGATAATAAAATTCAAAAATTTGCAAGCGTTGTTCATTCGTAAGTCGATTCATTGTTAAATTATAGACCAAACTGAACAAGTTTGACAATGACACAAGACACGATTCACGCGTGATCTGTCAAAAACAGTGTTGCCAAAAAGATACCAGCAAAAAAAATCACTCATTATATATGAAAAATATATAAAAGAAAGAAATTTGTTAATTTTTTACTAAACCTCTTGCCAAAGGGTGGACCCTTTACATGGTAAATCTCGTGAAATGCATCCGTTCCCTTTGAAACAAATTGTATTGATTTTCAATAAATTATTATATTTAAGACTTCGATAATTTCTGTGTTTTTTCAAATGTTTTGATGTATTTCTCTAATATAACCCCTTCTCAAGGGATGGATTATAAGGTTTCGTTTCACTAAAGAAATGTCAATTACGTTTTTTTAATTTTTCATATATTATTTGATACATTGGTCCAGGATTTCAACCAGAAAATCAAAATCACTCTCCTTCAACTGTGTTCCAGTCATGGAAAATCTATTGCGGCGGCTGTATCGCCAACAGCATATGCAGGAATAACTTCAACGAAGAATCCTGCACTGACACCTGTCGGATATAATCCAACGTCCTTCGTGGTATTAGCCAGGAAAATAGTTATTTTCTTTAGATGATAGCCTGTCTTCCAGTATGCCCACTGACTATATGTGAAAAGTTTTCTTTCCTTATGCGAGGAATTGGGTAAATTCACAGGCAGAAGGGGTGATGACAAACCTGTTGTTTGTTGTCCGCTTCAGCCCAGTTCGATAAATGATACACTGAAGGAATTCGATTTTCAAGTATCCGAAATCATCGACTATATATTGATGATAGACACTACCTTACACTGACGAATGGCCAAACAGCCCAAAACCGGCTACACCGGCCCACTGACTATATGTGAAAAAAATATTGCCATTTTTACAGTATTGTTTGAATAACGCTCCGTTTCCGCCTATCTATGGATAACACTTATCACCACTTATATTTTCATTGTAGCAATAATGGTGCCTATCGATTTATTTTTTCAGATTGCGATGAGGAAACCCGATCACTTGACTTCGATCAACCGCTGCTGCAAAAATCGCAGATGATGCTGGATTCGCCCGACTTCCGACCGAATTACCACTACCCTCCCGATCTCTTGCATTTTCCAGCTCGAATGACGCAAGTTTCCCCAGCGGGAAGTTCCGCCTCCACGGTAGCAGATACCACACGTCTCCCGCCACACCACGGACCCCAATCGCCTCTGCACAGCCCCATGTACGACCAGTTGAGCTTGTACCGGACTCTGCCTCATCTAAGGTCTCACTCACCTTTTGTTGGACCTCCAACCAGGATACCAAGGCAGGGCTACGTGACCATACCGCGCAGGCCCAGACAGCAGAGCTGGAGCTCGGAACCACCCAGTATGTCGGAGTACACCGCCGAACCCCTCTATGACAACCTGGGAATACGAACCACCGCAGATGGGGGGACCAGCACACTTTCTTTGAACAAAATCGACAACCCTGCATCCACCCCTAGGTCGAACAGGATTTTCCCCCTCAACTCGTCCAACTGCGACCCCATTGCCGAAAACACCGAGTCTCCCCCTAGCCAACCAGTCGCCAGTCAAACCCTTCCGAGAAATTTGAATTCAAAACTCACCCCTTCGAAGTTTCAGTGGACAATGGACAATGCCGAAGCTTTGAGAAGTCCCGAGAAGCGGAATTCCACGGCATCCTTACCCGCGGATAGTGCAAAACCTACGAAAATTCCCCCCAGACCCCCACCGAAACCTAAGAAGAGGATGTCGACTGGTCCTTTGTTTGAGGACGAGGGAGAAGACGGGACGGAAGTGTGAGAATGGCTTAAATCAGTGCTCGTGGCACTGGTTGTGGCATAAAAATGAACAAGTATTCGTAGGATGTAATAATTAAAGTCTTTTTTGACGCAAAGTCGAGAGAGTTCAGACTTAGAAAGTGTTTCGATGAATGATACAGGATACAAAACGATGATCGTAGTCGGTGATTCATAGAGAAATGAGATGGATCACATAATGGAATAGCTGAAAGTTTTTCATGTCCCACTTGAATCAAGATTTGCAATTGTTTGCTCAATAAAGTTTTGTAAAGTTAGGAAGTGAATTAGAGAACTATCTACATACACGTTCTACTTCAGAATTTCCATATCTCAAATGAAAGTCACGCCACCAGAAGGAAGATGTTATTTTTCCTTTGACAATAAACTTCAGTAGATAGTTGAACGGTAAAAGAGCTCAAAAACCTAGTATGTTCGAATCTTAAAATGAATTAATCATATCCTACATACTAGATCTGTAACACTCTTGTCAATAGGAGTTTCACCGTTCATTGAATATAATGAATATGAAGCTGGTCGATATTTAAATTCTATTTCGTAACTGGTTTTTATTCAACTCCGTGACAATAGATCTCTTCTATATTTATTTTACTGCTAAAATGTCATATTATCGGATCCTACTGACTGCGCCATGTGAATAGCTAGTCAGTTATATATAGCTGATTAATATTCAGTTTCGATCTTTGTTCCCTTAAGAACAAATCTATACTAAATATATTCAGGGTATTTTCGGTAACACTAAAAAAAGTTATATCACTTGAGTCATCAGAAGTTAAATGCTAATCAATAGTTAGGTATAGTTCATCTCTTGACAACTTCAGTTTGTTTGGTGGAACAGTATTTCGAAAGAGCGTTACAATAGTAGTATATAGAACAGAGGACGAATTTATTAAACTATTGATGTAGTAATAAAGTTGGTTATGAATGTAGAAAAGAAACCATTGAGACATTTTTAAATTATTTAATTGTTGTTTCTTTTTTTGGAGACACATTTACAGCTATATTTTAAATATTTTTATATTGTTTATACGAATATTATTTGAAATGTTCTTAAATGAATTTCGTTACTTTCAATATAAACTCCCAAACTGACCTCATCAAATTTTTCCTAGTTGCTAATGAGATTGTCATGTTATTCATCTCGATAATAACAAATATAATATAAGCAATAAGTCTTTGTGCATAAATATTATTCCAGCAAGTATTGGATTTTCTGAAGATCCCTGAAAATCATTTCATTTTGAACGTGCCTTGAAATGAAAATATAATTGAATCAAATTTTGACTTCGCCATGTTATCATTCTTTATGCATTAATTGCGTTGCAGTGCCTATTATTAGGCAATCATTGAAGATAAGTTGCAGAATTCTAGTATCCAAAATTCCCACCTCTATAGTATTCAGAAAATACTATTTCAGAACTTTCATCGATTATATTTGTTACACTCATATCTAAGAATGTAGACTAATATCTATTAATGGAGTTTCATGCCAATACCAAACCGTTATTGTTAACACCTCGACACATGTTTCAATCACCAAGTGATCATCTTCAGAAGGAAGAGAAGTTCAATCTTCCTCTTGAAGATGGCCATTTGGTGATTGGAACACGTGTTGAGGTGTTGCAAATAACTGTTTGGTTTTGAGATAGACCTCCTGTAATATTCATTACTACAGTGAAAGTTCCAAATTAAGCATTACTAGATTATTATCGTTAAACAACTGAGCTAAATGTTGATGAAATAGTGTAGCTATAACGGTTGTTATCCAATATGTAATAAAATTGGCCGATACTTGATGAAAATTCATAACATATTCAAGCCACACTTCATTTTGACGTTCTCCATGAATAGTTAACAAAACTGTCCGAATTTTCAAAAACAATAAAGTTCAAAGTCTTCTCTACCACTGTAAGTTTCATTTAGGAAAAACAGGAAATAACATATGTAGCAGTGAGACATGTTTCAAACCCAACTAACTGGCAAAGATCATTTTCAGTGATATGAAGAAAGGTTCATGTGAGAATAGAGGGGGGAGATATGTTACATTGCCTCTACTTCCTCAGGTTTGTACTTTGAGGACAAAAAAGTCCAACAATGCATTCGTTGTGGTCTGATGAGACCTATGGCAAGCCAAAACGCGCTGTCTGTTGCTGAATCATGAATGCTTTGTCATTGGGCTCTGATTTCACCAAAAAAATTATTTGAGTTCGCGACTGCTCTAAGACTCTATAAAAACTACTTAGGTTTCATCATTTCCACCGTTTATTCCTGTGTAGGAGATAAATATATCTTCAATTGATTTGATTTCAAATTTCTATGAATAATTTGGCAGCCTCCTAAGAATATAATTAGGATACTTTGTTCTATCCCTATTAACGAAGATTGCTCTGAAAAAATAGTGGCCTACTCGGCCACTATTTTTCTCAACATTCCAGTTCAATGTACATATTAACATGTCAGTAGATGATTATAGTATGTGCTATGGTTTTGTCATAATAATGAAATAGCATCCCCATTTTGATTTCAGTGTTATAACAAATTATAAACAACAAAAATGATCATTTTTCAAAATCTGAATAATCAAAAACGTCAAAATATGCCACATTTTGTAACTTGCCAGTGTTTTTTTAGTTTGTTCAGTTTTTGAGAAACTTATTTATTAACAATGTAGGTTACCTCTAAATTTCTCGCGATGGTCGTTTTGTATCTTGTATTGACTTCCTTTCTGAACGTAGGGTCAAGGACTCCGAAATAAATTAAATATACTACATAGGAATGGAATTATGATAAAGTGCCTTAAATAAACGAACAGAAAAGTGGTTAATGTAACTTCTCATACTATAAAAATGTTTGCTTTGAGTCCCCTGAATGTACTGCATGTTTCCCTACGGGCTTCCACTTCGACTGACGCTATGAACATTTATAAAGTGCAAAGTAGATTTTCGTATTTATTCCTATTTTTTGTATTAAGTGAGAATCGAATTATTTGATGTATAATTGACCAATAATTTTAGTCGTTATCCACAACATAGTCTCCCATGGGGTGAACCCCAACCGTTAATGTCACTTCATTGGTCGGCATTTTCACACATTCCAGTATTGAATAATTTTGTATGATTTTCTGCAAATCATCCAATTTTGATCTCATTAATGTATCATATTAATTGGTAATCATATATTGTGTAATGATAGCTATTTTGGAGATAATTCCATGAAGGGATGAAATTGAGATTTTTTTTATATATAACAAAAGTATTATAATTCATCATGAACCCAATGTAATACAATATTGGCATAAAAGTGCAAAATTGTAGGTAACTTTATAATGAATATGAAAAAAATCTACTAAAAGAGCTAAAGAATTTATTTGAAAATAAATATTTTCTCAGTTGGAACTCTGAAATTTTAATGAGCTGATGAAGAAAACTGAAAATACAATTTTGTATGGGTTCTCTCCACAAAATTTTCGAGGCGATCCTTTTTGATTCAAGTGAAAATCTATGTGATGACTAATACTTGATCAGATACTGTGGTAGACATCAACAGTGGTGTTTTCGTTAACTGTCAGGAGCAAAAACTGAATGCTGAGCTAGGCGTTCAGTCGTTTTTATAATTTCAAAGGGTAGTGAGGCATATGCTTACTCCTGATTGGTCTTCACTTTTACTAAATAGTTCTAATTGGTCCGCAGTATCACACGTTGTTCTGATTGGTTCATGTTGTTGACAGGTATGCTACTGTTAAAATGTAGATGGGAGTTGTATTCTAACCTGTGTCATTGTGAAAAATTGCCTTCATAATAGTTCTACTTTTACACAATCATCTGTAACTATGTAGGAACTCAGAGTATTGACTCGAAATGTTTCTCATTGTGTATATATGTAATGAAACTTACTCCATCTAAGGATTTTGGTTCAGAAACATTCCAATTCTTAATTTATTGATCTCATGTCCAACATATTGGAGTTTTTTCCTCCCACATAGAATTTCTCAGCTGGACCCAATCAATCAATAAATTATGCACAAATTCCACATGAGAACCTTGTACTTTATATAAATATTCTAGTATTGTCAATCAATCATTCCACAAAGCTGAATCCTACCATATTTTGGTTCATTCGGATACAAACTCTTCTCTTCATGATTTATCACTACAATGTGAAATGAGTTGAAAATATTTTTATTTTTGTTCTTTGTTAATTATTTATTCTCATTTCCCAGTGAAGCTATACTTGTCTAGAGTTAGCCTGGGACAATAATGAATTCATGTAATCATGCATAGAGAAAACATAATAAAAAAAATATCACTTATTTGTGAAACTCATTCCGATTTGTCTTAGTTGCAAACCAGATTTGAGTATTTTTACTACTATAATTTGTATTGCAGAACTGCTCAAAACATTCAAAATGAGCTTGTTTCTCCTTGTGAAATGCTAATGTCTAATCACTGGTGTGATTATTTCTGCCAAATGAGCATTATTCCACAAAAAAGTTTTTGTATTGATCAAAAAACATAGACCCCAAATTTTTTTCGGTTGAATTTTTCGAAAATTACGAAATAATCAAGAAAAATATTAGGGAGTGGTTAATAGCGATGTAAAGATTTTTTTGTGTGCGACCTGTTTGCCAGAGTCGTTTTGAACATTTTATTTGGATAACTGCCACCTTTAAGCAAAGAAGATTGAATTGTTTTTGGTACTATTGCTGCAGATACTCCACTCAATTGAAATCCAATTGGATTTCCTTCTAATTTCTCTTCTTTAGTGAATATGAATATTGGAATATTTTGAGACACAAAATCAGAAGCAATATTTCAAAAGAAGAGACCAACTATTCCAAACTTTCATAGGGTTGTATGATCATTTTATTGCTTTGAATCAAAGAAGTAATGGACATACTTGAAAAACACAGATTTTTTACTTGAACAACTAAGAGTGATTTTTTAACGATTGGATTAGCTGTCACGTGACATTTTTACATGGTAACTCTGCTGGAAAACTTTAGAGAAGAACCTGTTTATGATGGAATAATTCGAGTTCCTCTCAAGGAGAAATTTTTGAATGCTAACCAAACAGAAGCCAGTTAAGTCGCCAAACTTACTTGATGCATTCCATTTTCTCTCCCCCTCTATATCTCTACCTCTCTGAAGACCTGTTCATCAGCTATAATATCTAAACATATTCTTTCTAGTCTTAACATTGTTAACAAAGGATTCAGCATTGAGTAAAAGGGAAATTGATAAATGACGACTTATTATTGAAAAAATAATTTGTATGTTGTTAATGCTACTAGAGCTATTATCACATTTATCATTAGTCACTTGAAATATTGTTGAATTATCATCTTCATCAGGTATGTAATAACTTTGAAAAATCCCCTATAGACATTTTCAGTGTTCTCAATTACTGAAGTGACATTGCAACTGTTTAAAAATAACTTGGAGTTGCCAGTATAGAGAACTCTCTGTAACTATCCTTCACCATGGGACAGACTATGTTGCAGATAACTCAATTGTAGCTATCATTAACCTGAAGTAAAGCAGGTACCAGAACAATTATTATGTGATGTGAGAATAAAAATAATGTTAGGTTTTAATTTCAAACGAGTTTCTTGCTCAATTTTTGTTGAATGTGATGTATACTTAACTACAAATATTTTTCAGGAAACAAGTTCTTGATGCACTGTAAATAACTGATGAACAATCTTCTTTCTCATAATATGTACAGTATGAAGTATAAATCCTTAATGGCGATATAAATATATAATTTTCAACTGTGTTTTTTTTTCGGGTTGTCGCAAGTTCCTCGGATTCTATGTCGAAGAATGTGCAATATTCAAATACGTAGTCATCGGCCAAGGTATTTTTCCTTTTGAAATATTTTTTATGATGAAGCAGTTAGTAGTATGTTTTTAATCAATAAAAATATGAATTCCGAAATTTTCAAGGAAAAGAGTACAAATACCTAGCTGTGGGTTCGCATTAGATAAAAGTGATATTCAAGTATTATTCAGACATCAATAGAATTCAAAGTTAATTCAAACCCTTCAAATGGATCATTACCTTTCCTGTTCAGATGAATTGAGAATGACGAAAAGAAATGTATGCCTATTTTTGTTCTCTTTATACTTTAAAGGAATTCAGGTCCACGGTAATCACTCTTATTACAGAAAACATTTTTTACTAAACAGTTTTATTATGAGATAATGTTTCTGCTCAACATTTTCATCATATGAAGGGTTCACTTATGAAGATTTTTAAAGAATTTTCTCTCATAATAAGCTATTGATAATTCTCATCAACTGGGTATAAGAAAGCAACTCATTGATATTTCTTTATTTATTGGCAAAGGAAGATCAATGGGCAGTGTTATTCTAAGGTAATATTTACGAAATGCAATAGATAAATAGTATGTATTACAATCTTTTTTCTTAATCACCTTTCATCATGTGCATCTTTTTTCTTTCTCTCCCCAGCGCTTACTTTTTTATTATCGATTAATTTTACTTATTTTATGTAATTATATTCACAATAATATATACCATCCTTTTGTTTTTGGATGCAAGGGTGTGTATTTGTTTTGTTTTGTTTTGTTTTAATATACTTTATTGTCTGAAGAATAAATTCTTATTGACAAAGCCTTGTGCGAAATATAAATAACATATACATGTAATCACAAAAGTAAAATCACTAAAAGTAGGTTACAACATGAACTGAAAAGAGACATGTAAATAATAACAAACATTCAGGATATAAGAACATGGTGAACAAAATGTAAATAAATCAATTTAAACTAAATTGAATGAAATGAAATCAATAAAATACCGTAGATATTACAGTTAGTCTTCTCAAATAAAATTATCATCATAGAATTCTGCTAAGCTATAATAAGGTCTCCCAGAGAGCAAGTCTTTCAACTCTTTCTTAAGAGCTCTAAGGTCATTTATGGTTCTTANACGTCTAGACGCAGGATTGTTTTGGGCTAATGAAACCGTTGACAAATGTGGATCTTCCTGCAGAGATACGGCAATGTCCAATTTTTGATCTTCGTCTAAAACATGTGGCCGGCCACTTCTGGGCAAGTCCTTCACTGTACCATGTTCTTCAAATTTGTGAAAGATCTTACTCACAGTAGCCTGGAAAATGTGATTTTTGAAAACACGTCAAATTGAAAAAGAACACTTAGAAGGTACCCAATTAATAAACTAAACATACATATTTTCAATTTCACCCAGAAATGCCACAATTTTAAAAATGAGCCAAGACAATAGTTCGCAACAGGGCTTTCATTTTGGTACAAAAAAATGCAACAACCTTTTTTTTTTTGAGGTACACTGGTCTACAATTGCTCGGGATGGAACTAATTTTATGTGTAAGTTTTTGGTGAAAAATAAAATCCACAGAATGTTGATGCTGCATTACGTTATCAGTTTTACACATAAATCAATAAAATTTGTTGTGGTGCCTGGCCCGGTTGGTCTGTTCTTGAAATTTGTAAACTTTCAAAAAGTAGGTACTGGTGATCCTCAGCAATAGTTGAGCAATATACAGCATCACCACTTATTTGTTTTTTGCAACGTTAATTCACCCGTAGATAGCACTAAGTAGATATTTCTAACTTTTTTTTGGTTTTAAAAGAGTTTTTTCTTATTTCGTGGTAACCGCATGAGTGAAAAAAATGAAGGGTATGGTCAGATTACATTTTTTACGAGCTTTTCAATGAGCCCATACACGACATAAGTTTGCATTTGAAAAAAAAAGTTGGGGAGGGTTGCAGCTAAGGGGTTGAAAAAAAATATTTCGTTTTATTGCCAAAAAATGCGTACAACGTGAAATCAACTGACGTGCTTCAGCGTTTTTTTCCTAAATTACTGGTTAAAAAGATATTAATTTTATTCCGGACTTTTGCGCACCCCTGTATATAGAATGGCCCAACACATATGACGATAATGTTCTTAATGACTGAACCTTTGAGAAAGTTGCTGAGGATGTCGGCATGTCGATTGACTCAGGCCATTTTTTCAAAGACAAAACACATGCTCTACAGGAAAATCCTTGAAGCGCTTAAGAGCGGTGCCTGTGCGAAAGTAGCGATCCATTTGGAAAAACGTTCTCAGGAAGTTTATTCCACATAAACGGAGTTCTCCAAATGAAAGAGTTCTTGAACAGTGGAGTTCGAGGTGTATTGAGTTGAACCTCAAAACGATGAGCACTGTATTTCTAATATGTACCGCTCTTGGTGGAATCAAATGTCCCAAGTCACTTGAACACTTTCCGTGAAAGTATCTATAGAATAGAGACAAATCTCCAACCTTTCTTCGATATTCCAGACTATCAAAGTTGCAACTGATGTTCGCGTCACTAATCAGGCGGCTGGCTCTTTTCTCAATGGAAACTGGCAGCTTCAGGGTATGCTTAGAGGCTGGGCTCCATACATGAGAACAATACTCCAAAAGAGGTTTGATCTGAGCTTTATAAAGCATCAAAAGTTGCTGAGGCGTGTACAGATTTCTGGTTCGGAACAGTGTTCCGAACCAGATTCAGCTCCCTGCGACTTTTTCTTTTTCCCAAGATTTAAGAGACCCATGAAAGGGTGGCGTTTTGCGACGATTGGGGAGATGAAACCCGCATCGCTGAGGGAGCTCAAGGACACACCATAAAGTGCATATCAGAAATGCTACGACGATAAGAAAAAACGCTGGCACAAGTGTATTATATCTGAGAGGGACTACTTTGAGGTTTTTTGTAGTTCAACGTTCACTTATGGCTTCAAAACCATTGAAGTTTTTAAAAAATCGTCTCCTATAGTATGCTTCATATTTCGCCAGGGAAAGAAAATGTACAAATCAACCGTATCTCGGACCCATTCTGATTGTATTGGTTTCAAGAATGCTATTTATGTAGAAGTTGAATAGGAGTAGGCCTAACACAGTGCTCTGAGGCATACCAACTGTAAATGGGACTGCTCAAATTCTCTTATATGTCAACTTGCTGTTTCCAATTCAACAAATAACTTTAAAAATGTTGTAATCATTTCCCTAGAAATTCATGATTCTGTTTATTCAACAGTTTCTCATGGCAAAACTTTATCGATAGCTTTCTATCAATCCACAAAAATACCGATAATTCATTTTTCATTTCTGAATCCGTACTGGCGTTCTGACAAAATATTTAATGTACTCAAGGATTTAGTAAGTTTAGTTCTGATCAGTTGTTCTAAGATTTTAAAAATGTTGGATGATAGAGAAAGAGGTCTGTAGTTATCGAATTACATTTTATCCCAACTTTTGACTGTCTTTTTGAAAAAGCATCTGTTGCAATACTTTGTTATACCAAAAAGACAATAGCACAGGTATTTCTTCTGCCGTTTCCCCTGATTTCATCATACTCTCAAAATACCCAGTACTCTTGCGTAATCAATATTGAAGTTCTTCTGTTTCTTAGACGCCAATAGTGGTATAGGCTAAAAAAACGACCTGTATGATCGAACTCATTGAACCCAGGGTTATCAAGCCGCTGATATGGGGACATGAATCTGTGAATATTTTTATTTTCCTCTTCTTTGTACTTCAGTGTAGATTTTCTAGGATGAGAGTACTCATATTTGTGATTGTTCTGGGATATGCCTACGCTTGTGGGAAAACACCCAGCTTTTATCAATCTAGAAAAGTGAAAACACCTGGAGATAATGGTTACGAAATCAAAATCAATGAGAATCCCCAGAAATATGTTCCTGGAAATATTTATACAAGTAAGTGAATATATACCTACCTATATTGTTGTCATAAATTATCACTGCTCGGGATATTTAACACATCAGTCAATAATATAATTTATGTCATACCTACTACTACTTCATTATTGTGTTCATTATGTGTATTGTTTTCATAATTGTCTATAGTCCTGTGAGCATAAAAATAAAAGCATATCGGCATAGTAACATGGCCATACTCCATCTTCTGCCACAAATATGTCGATGTTCGATCTAGATATCTTGCGAAGATGGCTGTACAGTACAGGGTGTGGATGTGGAAATAAGCAGTCTTCTCTTCAACCTCAAACTTCAAAAATTACGTCTTTCGCGACAATGGTTAAAATGCGTTTTTTATCGGTTTTTGTCTCCGGTACGTTTATTGAAAATAATACCCACCACAAGTCCTCGAAATGTTATCAATAAATTTGCATTTTTTTTCAGGAAAACTTTTGTTATTCAGCAATACTATGAGATCAAACAGCATAATAGTAGGTACTACTAGTCAGTAGGACGAGTCGTTTTATCTATTGCTAGTTGCTCCTATTACTCAAAAATAACAGTTTGAGTTTAAAAAAGTGTTATTCGTGAAGATTATTTTCTAAAATTTGATGTAGAATCAGAAATTAAAGTTATTTTTACAGAACTTAAAAAACGATAATTTTTCTGATCTCAATGATCTATCTAACGATATTAAGACCTAGTTAAACCTCGATAGAAACAGGAATTTCCACAGAGTCCTTAAAAGTAGCGATCTCCTCGAAAGCTTTAACCATTTTGAGATTTCTGAATTAATAATTTCATTTTATTGGTGGAAATTTAAAAAATATATAAAAAATTCCAAATGTCCTTAATAAACATAAATGAAATCACAAAGGAATTCAGAAGTCACAAAATATGCAGGGTATTTCATTTGCAATGAAAAAATGTTTTCCGAAATAACGGAATTATTTCTGTAGATTGAAAATATTATGAATGAATAGACCATTATCAATTATTTCTCGTCTATTTTTCGAATTTGCTGTTTCATTCGTCTCAATAGTCTCCCATCAAGAACTATATCTGATATACTTTCAGATTTTAACAGTTGTAATGAACTGTTGCACAAACGTGCAACTCCATTTTTTAGATCATAATTCCATTTCGAAGATACAGTTATACTTGATAAAACTCAGAATGACCATCCAAGAGTATATAGAGAGGCAGTGGAAAATCACAAACACAGGGATGATTTCAATAGAAAAGACGAGACAATGAACATTAATGAAATCTAGTTACCTGTCCTCAAAGGTACACAAACAAGGTCGGGTAATACAACTGAGAGAAATAAAGCCATGCTCACTAATAGTAATAATATAAAACCGGGGAGAAATAGCATCGTAGTTAATGCCGGCGGAAAGACGGCCATATCGCCTTTGATAATATATACCGCAGTAGTAGACGAAACGTCAGACATGAAAATCTTCAGACCACGGCCAAAAACCCGTAAAATAGCTTTCACACAGTCCAAAAAAATAGTCAGAATTACAGTTGAATATATTTCTGATACATTATCCCACGTAGTAGGATATACTTTATTCAAACCGCTACTCGGCCGACGATTGAAGGGAAATTTTTATAAATAAGAGATACCTCACACATTGAATAAAGTCACATATAATCTAAATACCACCCTCGTTTGGGCCTAATTTAACACATTTCTTTGATATGTTCCATACTTTTTCACAAAGTTCATCATTATAAACTTGAATTGGTTGGACGAAATGACGGCAGTCACTGAAAAATCCTCCGTTGGCGTTTTCGATAGCGTCACTGCATGCAAGGTGAATAATTGTCTGAGCTCCCTCTTCAGCATTCTGGAAAAAATATTACTTTGGTTGATTTCCTCATTAAAATAAACGACAGCGAATTTTCTATTTTTTATCAAATAAAAAATTACAGAAGTAAGAGAGGGACTAAAGACCTTCCAAACGATACATCACTCGAATATTGATATTTCAGTTCTTATTAGACACAGTACATAAAAAAATTTTAATTTTCAGACAAAAATCCTTGACAGTTCGTATAAATGAGTTCATAAATAAGTGTTTATCATTACTCGATAAGAATAATTACCACAAAACGAACCATGAATAATAATTTCGAAGAAAATAAGTAGGTAACTATTTTCAATCAAAAACAGGACAACCTTTTTTTTTATTTTTGAGGTTTCTTAGGACCCTCTTTACATTTTGAATACTTCAAGATTCGACTGGCGTGAGAGAAATGTCAACCACAATGATCAAAAAAGGAGCAAAACACATTTATTAATTGCCAGAAAACTGATACCGGAAGTTAATAAACTAGCTGTTTTTTTATTTGAAAATACACAAAGTTTTTCTGTAAATAATGTAGGGAATTAGGCATAGTTTGCTGCATGGGAGATCATTGGCTCTTCATGGATTCTCCCGAAATATGTCTAAAATAATATACATATATATTTCAGAAACGAATAATCAGAACTTTGAGGTGTAGATAAAAAATGAAAAGAATAATCCCATCATAACTCCGGAGCAGATCCAACCTTATCCTAAAGTGGCGGCTAGACATAAGGTAGGCCTACAAAAAGGAAGGAAACCAGGGTGTTCTAAAATAGCTACAGATTCCCCAGAGAAAGATAAAATTTGAGAGAGAAAAAAGTCGAAATCATTGCCCAAAACCTTGAATGCCAAGAAGAGAAATGAAAATACAAGAGGACACATTAAAAAGTTGAATTTTGATAGTGAATCTGAAAATGAAGATGTGGATTAAGTTTTAGAAGATGAAGATGATGTAACAGACCTACTGGACATAATTAACCAAGAAGTAAATGAAAGTCAAGAAGAAACTGATTTTGAAAGAACGGCATTTGAAGAGGGGGACTATGTTTTGGTAGGATTCAGCAAAAAGCATGGGCCACCGGTGCCATATGTGGGAAAAATCATTTCCAGAGATGAACATCATTTTGATAACCAGATTAAATTCTACAAACGAATTGGAATTGGCAGCAAATTTGTGAAAGAGTCTGAAGAAATATTTGATGTTGTAGCGGAAGATATTATGGTAAAACTACCAACTCCAGTAGAGTTGAGTGGATCGGCTGGAACTGATGGACAGTTATGGTTCCAAGTAGACTTTTCCAGCTTCAATGTCAACTGATTCAGTAAAATAGACAAATTGAAATAACGTTACTTATACTTCAATATCAATCTTTTTGCAATGAAAGAAATTAAATACTCATTTCTGTATAAAAATGTTGTTTTTGATACATACTATAGGTACAAGACGTTGATGATCCAAGGTACACGAAGGCATGATCAATGGTACATTATGGTCTTGTACCATTGATCATATATCAATACAATATATATGTTCATTTTTTTCTATTGCTGTTCAATATTTAAATTTTCAAAAATTACATAATGTGTAGGAACAATGGTGCTACCAGTAGAGACTCTCTCCGTTATTATATTAAAAAAAACAGCTTGTAAAAAAATTCAAATGTGAATCGTGATCCAAGGTACAATAGTGTCCTCTAAATATCTGTGATGAAAACAACCATATTGTAACAACAATATGTGTTGTTTAGAAATACACTATACAAAATATAGGTATATATTTTTAGATCTTCAAATCATCAGCCTGAATACTCATTTCCTTACCTTTCCAAAAATCCAAGTCGTCAGTGTTAACAATATCACCCAGATACTGCGATTCTCAAGAATCGATCTCCAATATATACCAGTTCTCACCAACCCCGGGTGGAAAGAATATGCGGTAACTCCAGATCCTGTCAGCTTTTCGGCGAAACATTTAGCAGCAATGTTCATACAGAGCTTTGAGTTTGAGTACATTCGATGTTGTATGCCCGACAAGTTCTCTGGAGGAGTCATATCGGCGACATTTAGTTTCGTCCAGAATGAGGTTATCGAACCAGTGAAAATTATACGGCTTGGCGATGACTTTTTCAGGAGACCTTGAAATCATACGTACCTACGTTTATTCATTTATGAAATATAAAGACTCTTTTGAAATTACAAAAACCCAAAGTATAAATCTGAAACTCAAAATTCGAATGAACAGTTCCTGTTTCGTATGTCGTGCAATATTCCAATTCTCAATAAACTTCGATGATTACCCTTCTTACAAGAACGCCATCTATGGGATCAACAGAAAACTCAAACCGCAATTATCAAAGGTAATGTTTTTATATGTATTAGAACTTTATATCAGTATGCTTAATTATTTGATGTGACGCTGAGTGTCACTAACAAAATACAACCTCGTCAGTCTTCCCTAAAATAAGTGTTTTTCAATCTATCAATTGTTTTTCTAAAACGATTTCAATGAATTAAAAATGATTATATTTAAAAAAGATTGAATTCAAAAACAACCACCAACTTTCTATTTCGCATGTTCTATTTTTTCATTAAAATCTTGAAATTTCTAGATGTATTCCAAAATATATTGGAATTGTGTGGAAAAAAACTTGAGGACTGCAATGTTGACTATCATAAGAACATGGAAGCTAATATTTTCGAGGAATGGTTTGAAAACACATTGATACCAAATTTGGATGTGAATAGTGTAATATTTCTTGACAACGCTTCCTATTATTCACAAAAACTCATCAAAATACCGAATTAAAATTCGAGGAAAAGTATATAATAATTTGTATTTTGAAGATTACTATACCAAAAACCAACTACTTGGAGTTTTACAGACAAAAACATTCGAAAAAGTGTATGCCCTTGAATGTATTGCTAAAAGTATGGACACGCTATACTGAGACTTCCCCCCCAATTTTTGTGTTTTTAATCCCATCGAATTGATTTGGGAAAAATTCAAACAAAGCATCAGGCGTAAAAATAATTTTTTTAAATTTGATGAGAAGGTAATAGAGCTAATTAAAGAAGAAGCATCTAATATTACCGGATTAAAAAAGACAATATGGAGATTGGACACTTCCATAATAATGGTGGAAATTAATTCATTATTGATTTAAATGACGACAGTGATAGTGAAACGGGTTTATCAGAAGCTTTCGAAGAGATTTAGTGAAGTGTTTTTGAAGCGATCGATTGTTAACGAAATCAGTTAGCTCCCTAACTATATTATTGAAGGGGATCTGTTGGAAGGTAGGTTGCACTATATTGTTTACTCGAACTATACCTATCAACAACATTCCGATTACTACAAACAGCTGCAGACATTCAATTCACTGGGTGCAACACATTCAAAAACGATCCTGGTGTTTTCGAAAGAGTTCGGGAGTCGATGAGGAGAAGATTGGATTTTCGAATCCGAGCGGGGGGTAATCATTTTCAACAAATTGTTGTCGAAATTCTTTTTCGGTCCGTATCTTCGAAATAAAGCGCCCTATCAAAAATCATGAAATGACAATGTATCCTTAGAATAGTCCAATGAATATTCGTTTAAATTTTTTCCTCGTGTTTAATAAACATCCTGTATAGCGTTTAAAAACCGAAATTTGCAAAGAAACGACCGCATATGGCAAAGAAAAAGTGTTGTTTCATCAAAACACCGCACCGTGTCACAAGTCAATCTAACAATGGCAAAACTACATGAATTGAACTTTGAATTGCTCCCGCATCTACCGTATTCCCCAGATTTGGCTCCCAATGACTACCGGCTGTTCGCAGACCTCAAAAAATGCTTACCGGTAAGAAAAAAATTCGCTCAACTGAAGATGTTATTGCTGAAACTGAGGCCAAAGATGAATCGTTCTACAAAAGTGGTATTGAAATGTTGTGTGGCTCTTGATAGAGATTACGTTGATGAATGAACACAATTTTGAACAAAAAAAAACGCGTTTTCTTTCTTAGTCCCGGAACTTTTCAGCCCATGTGAAAAAACTAACAAAAATTCCACTTTCGCAATTACTAAATAAAAACATCTCATGATTCCTTACCTAGCAGAAGATGCGTAAGCAAGAAGTGTCCATAGTAATTCACCTGCATTGTTTTTTGCAACCCGTCCTCCGTATGCTGCATTCCAAGGGTTCCAATTCCAGCATTGTTTATCAATATATGCAAATTTGGCTCGCTGTCGATGATATCCTTGGCAAAACGTTTCACGGAGCTGAAAGAGGCCAAGTCCAGTTCCTTAACAATAACATTGTGGTTTTTGGTTTCACGTACGATTGTGTCTCGTGATTTGGAGGCATCCTCTTTATCTGCTATTATAACTCTGCACCCTTTGGACGCCAGGGTCAGAGCTGCTTGGTAGCCGATTCCTTGAAATGAATAAATATATTAGGTATTAGGAAGTTTCTTGCGTTTCAATGTCAGGTGTTTTTGTAGCTCCACATCTCAATAAATATTCCTCTCCACATTTTTCTGGATGCATATAGACTGCATGGACTGCATATAGACTTGTGCACATTACTAATTGCACAATGCAGAGTGCAAAAGACTGTTGGTTGACACAGCATTCTGAAAATGACCTCTGACTTTATGTCACTACGAACTGCTTTATAAAGTACTGTTTCCTAGTAGAAAGGACCGGATCCTCCGGGAGAAGGAAATATTAAGAGCAGATAGTTGTTGGTTCACAGATGGATCAAAAACACCTTCCGGTTCTGGTGCAGGTGTTTTCAGTCGCAGACCCAGGACAGAGATGTCAACCTGCCTAGGAACTTATGCGACTGTATTTCAAGCGGAAATTTACGCTATTGAATTGTGTGCGGAGAGAATGGAAGAATCTAACCTCATACACAAGTCAATAAAAATATTCTCGGACAGTCAAGTGGCGTTGGAAGCTCTTGGCTCCTACTGAGCAACGTCTAAATTGGTAGCGAATTGCCAAAAACGACTCTCCCCGATAGGATGACTCAACAGATTGCCTCTGGTCTGGATTCCTGGCCATACTGGCCTGGAAGGCAATGAGGCTGCTGACTCCCTTGCAAAGGAGGGTGCTACAAGCAGCTTCATCGGACCAGAACCTGTCATTGTCATCGCTTTAGGCTTTGCCAAACAAAGATTGAACACCTGGATGGCAAGAAGATTTATGGACTCACTCTTAGGCGTTTATTCACCCTTCGAAGCTTGATACCAAATATTTGTTGGACTACAGTAGGAATGAACTACGATGTATAACAGGCCTTCTTACAGGTCACTCTGTCATTTGAATCATCATAAGCAAAGACTCGAACCGTCGGAAGACAATGTGTGTCGCCCTTGTTTGGAAAATGATGAAACAGCAGAGCACATACTTTGCACCTGCCCCGCTGGGAGCCAAATGAGGTTTTTCGAGTTCGGCAGAGCCGTACTCTTACCATTTGACCTGAAAGACCACTTACCATACAAACTAATCGGCTTCGTTAAGAAGCTGGGTTTATTTGGTCGAGTGTGAATAGGTGTGAGTTACAATAAACCCTTGCGGGTTGCGGTGGAGGGTCGAATAGACCCACTCACTTTGGACCTAACCTAACCCTAACCCACATTTTCACACGTAATATAAAATTCAGGTAATAATAAAGTCATTGAGGACCATCTGTTATTACCGACAGTTGTTGTACAGGTATATAAGGGTGTACATTGTTGATTTTTCAGTTCATTATATTCGTCTGAAAATGTCCTAGTAGAACGAAACTGCAGTAAATTTAGTTACGAAAAAAAGTGCTATAAAAACATAGGCGGTTTCAAATCTCATTTTTCATGATAATCTTCTACCACTTAGTAAAGTTACATCCATAAATTTATTGTTCCAATTCTCTATCCAATACGAAAATCGAATCGGCTGTTCACAAATTATTACCAGTTTCATTAGACCTTTTCCGTGAACAATTTCTTTCTTTTACACATAACAAACAAACTTTGTGTAAACTATAATGACTAACTTTGAAGCTATTTCAATCCTGTTATGATTGCAAAGTTACGAATTCTCATTTTTCTTATTCTCCAATAACTTCGCAACCGGTCAATTCAAAACAGTGAATTTCATATAAGTTTTGTTCGACTTTGATATCTTGTCCTGTAGTTTTGTTAGCCCGAACTTTTGAAGGAAAGTTGAGAACTTGCCTTTTTTAGTAGATACATTCACTGAAACGGACTTGGCCCGCTTGAATCCTCCAATAGCGGCTGAAGGAAGCAAACAACAGAAGTTCCTCTATTCATGGGTCAACACAAAACATGCCGTTTGGCGAACGGCGGCAACAAAAATCACACATGTACTGCTCTCATAGTGTTTTGACAGGTTTGCCGCATTGTTTAAGCTTTTCTCTTAAAAAATCGACATCTCACCTGAGTTTCCACCCGTTATAATAGCCGTTTTCCCGACGAGGCAAGTCTTATCACTACACCATCCACATGTTACCCTGCTGATGAACAACAGAAGTAATATAACGCATATAATGTACACAAACATATTTCTTGGAACACTTCACAAAGTAATGCGGTATCAATGTCAGTCCCACAATAATCTCGGATTTCAATTCTGAAATGATGGCTCGTGAAGCAATATGAACACAATCGCTTCAATTTTGTTACTGAACGTGTTCTGTCACTGAACCAGACAGAGAACAACTTGACACATCATGATCTGAACCCTACATTCCATCCTTATATGATGCTCTTTGTATCTTCGTCAACGTAACAAGAAGTCGCTCCTTGAAAACGAGTTTACATTTTTACAACAAACAGAATGAGGTTTAAGGTAGCCGTCGTTCGCCAATTATGACGTAAGTTGTTTATTTCTTATCCAAACAGTAAAAGATGATAATATCGCCCATATTCACTTCGTCGACACTAACAACGTAACTAATTAACAAACTAATCGACAAAAATTATTTATTTATTCATCAGTTTCTATTTTGTCCTCTTCAAAGTATTCCCCCCTCAGATGAAATACACTTATGCCCTCGTTTTTTCCAATTCTCGAATCAGTTCTGATATGCACTTTTTGTTATGGCTTTGAGCTCTCTCAGCGATTCAATTTTTATCTCCCCAATTATTCCCTGGGTCTTTTCAATCTTGAGAACAAGGAAAAGTTGCAGGGGGGCAAATCTGGTGAATATGGTGGCTAAGGAATGATTACGGTGTGGATTACGAACAAGCAACGGTGAGTGAGCAGGTGCATTATCGTGATGAAATAGCAATGAATTGTTTTTCACAATACCGGACGTTTTCTTCGTATTGATTCTCGCAAGCGACGCATAACTTCAAGGTAATACTCCTTATGGACCGTACGATCATGTGGCAAAAACTCCTGATTCACTATGGAGAAAACAATGAGCAAAACATTTGATCGAAGTTGACGTGCTTTTTTTGGTCTTGGCTCTCCTGAGCCATATACTCGTCACTCGTCACCAGTTATGACCAATTTAAGCAAATCTGGATCGCCACTGACGCCATTAACAGAAATTAACATAAATAGTCGTATTGATACTATATAGAATACTAATAATAACCCAATAGGTAGGTATAATCGAAGTGAACGATATTGTGCATATTTAAAGTTAGCGGCACTCTCAAAGGCAAAAAAACCAATACATGGAAATAAACTGGCTGCAAACTATTCCACGTGGACTGTAGACATGGCGGTTCGTATTGGATAATTTTTACTAACCGAGTTTTATGATTGGCTGAAGAGTCATAAATTTAAACTTGAAGTCATGGACAATCGAGAAATGTTATCGCCGTGTTCAGTTCAGGAACTATGGCGATTTGAGTGGCGAAATTCGATATTGATGCAGTTATAAGTATTTTATCTAATTAAAATGTGGCGTCCTTGGACAAATACCAAAAGTAATAACAACACAGACTTTTTCCAGTGTAGTGATTCCAATAGCGATGGCGAACAATACGAAAAAGAGATACCAGTGAATAAGAATAAGAATCACAGCACTTAGGCCACATGTGACCCATTGTACATTTTGTCCTTTCCAGGAAGGTGGACAGGTCACTAGGAGACATCTCCTTTGTATTGGCAGGAGTAGGCCAAGACTCGCCAAACACACACTCTCTTTGATAACCTTGAGGTGTCTCACGGCGGCCTCCGTGAAGGTTTTGGAAGGTGCAGAGACATTACTGTTGTTGCGCGGCTTCTTCAACCTTCTTGGGGTTCCCTCCGTGGAGGTGCACAAGTGAGAAGGCTTTCCTACAGGAGCAGCCGGTTCCTTGCCTTCATTCAAGGCGGAACTCTTGGCGCCCGCCGCAGGAAGTGCCCTTGCTGTTGGAGTTGGAATGGGGGAGGAGAAATGCACTGATAGTTGCTGCCACTCCTGCCTCCTTCGCTCTCTTTCTACTTTTGGCTTCGGCGTCGCAAATGCGCTTACGCCTTGGCCTTTGTTATTACATCACGAGGTGATCTGTTATGTCCAACCTCATTCCAAGCGGTAGATTGGGGTGGATATTTCTGTTCATCCTCAGCCACCGCCTTAGATTGACGTGAGAACTTCTATCTAGCCTCGGGATAGGTTTTTGTTTTTGTTATTCCTGTTTTTGTTTGTTTCAATCATGTGTGTTTCCACGAGTAGCAAGGGAAGAGGTAGGCTGATTACAATGAGGTTTCTCCCAGTTCCCCAAGGGGATCGTTCGTAACCGCATATCACCCTGCGGCCATTCAGCTGTCGGCACGATTCCTTACACCTTCGCTTGGGTGGGTCCACGGTGGCATGTTTTGCAAAAGCTTCTGATGAGTTTTAGTTCCCCTCACCCTACTTATTTCTGCCACTGACTAGGAGTCCGGCGACCCCATCCGTAAGGCCACATTGGCTTCCCGGATAGGGCCTCCAGTCCCCTTTCCGTTCCCCTATCCGCCACCCGATAGGTAGCCCAACCCACGGGATGTTTCAATGTATAAAAGAATCTACATCTCAAGTTTGGTTTCGAGGAAAATAAACTATAATAAGCAACATCAGATTTGAATGAAATTCCTTTCTAAACTGTATGTAAAATAGTCAAAAACAAATCTTATGAACGCAAGACGCCATGTGATACACGGTTACCACAACCTTTAGAATTTTTAGATGTTCATCTGATGAAGTCATTGAAAAAACAATATACGACTGTTACAAAAGCAATGCGATTCCTACAACTGAAATCATAAGGAAGAAATTGAAAACATTCGGCCATAACGTGAGCTGCTGTGAGAAAACTCTTCAGAGTTGGATAAAGAAACTAGGATTTAGATTTAAAATAATAAACAAACGTCAAGCACTTATGGAAAGCAGAATAATAGTGGAATTGCGTAACAAATACTTGGAGCATATAACTAAAAATAGACAAGAATATAAGAATAACGGGAAATTTTCTATTTGGACGAAACTTGGTATATCACTCACGACACAGTTACGAAAGGGTGGACTGATGGTTCGAGAATGTGTACGCCTAACATGTCTGCAAAAAAAAGGATCGCGACTGATCATTGTGCATTGCGGAGGAAGTAAAGAATCGGTTCCGAATTCTTTGAAATTATGTGGAAAAAACTTTGAAGACTGCGATGTTGATTACCTTGGTCAGTCGGTACCGCCCGGCTACCGGGGTGGTTCGACGTGTGTACTTTGTTCATTCAGTGAATCGGCCGATGTGTGAGTCGATGGTTCAAGCCCCAGGCTGAACGTTCGATTTTCACTTGCTATCGTCCAGCCCGTGTTAGGAATCTCACGTTAAAAGGTAAGACCTCGTTAGTGATTTGCTCGCACAAGTTTCGACTTCTGAGGGTTGTCGTTCGTAGGGGTGCGATAGCTGATTGAAGGAAAAATATATTTCAAACATATAAGAACATGGAAGCTAATATTCTCAAGGAATGGTTTGAAAACACATTGATCCCAAATTTGAATGCGAGTAGTGTAAAATTTCTTGACAACGCTTCCTATCATTCGCGATAGCTCATCAAAGTACCGAATAAAAATTCGAAGAAAGATGAAATACAAAGTTTTTTAACTATACCAAACTATACCAAAGATTACTATACCAAAAACCAACTACTTGAAGTTTTACATTTGAAACATTTGAACATTTGAAAAAGTGTATGCCCTTGAGAGTATTGCTGAAAAGTATGGACACACCATACTGAGACTTTCCTTCTATTTTTGTGTTTTCAATACCATCGAATTGATTTGGCGAAAATTGAAACAAAGCATCAGGCGTAAAAATAATTTTCCAAAATTTGATAAGAATGCAATAGAGCTAATAAAAGAAGAAGTATCTAATATTACCGAAGAAGACTGGCAGAAAAGGATTAAAGAAGTAATATTAGTTAAAAAAGACTAAGTATATGGAGATTGGACACTTCCATATTAATGGTGGAAATAAATTCATTATTGATTCAAATGACGACAGTGATAGTGAAACAGAAGAGGAAGAGGAATTATCAGAAGCTTTCCTAGAAAGTTAGTGAAGTGTTTTTGAAGCTTTCGATTGTATATTATATGTGTCTGTGTGTGAGTAAGTAATATTCAGAAGTATTTTCAATTATCAGCCTGTTATTTGAATCCCTATAAATATTACTGCAGTTTTTCCTAACAGCAAACCGTTATTTCAACACCTCGACACGTGTTTTGACCATCAAGTGACCATCTTCAAGAGGAAGATCAAACAGTTTGATCTTCCTAAAGTAATATTCATTACTAAACCAAAAATTCCAAAGTGTGTATGATATAAATCAAAAATGAAACAACTAGTGAACACAACACTCCAAAAAGGGGGGCAGACCGCAGACACGTGTTTCTGGATATTTGCGTCATCAGCGCGGTGCAGCCAAGTGTTAAAATGGGCAACACTTGTTTGCCGAAAGCAGAAAACAACACATATGCACAGAGTCAACAACAGGAGCCAACCACACATTTTTGGTTCATGTTAGATGTAGCCTGGGAATTCTAGGTCTTCTAACTGGAACCACAAATGTGCGGTTGGCTCCTGTTGTTGACTCCGTGCATAAGTGTTGTTTCCTGCTTTCGGCAAACAAGTGTTGCCCATCTGTACACTTGGCTGCACCGCGCTGATGAGGCCAATAGCCAGATCATCATAAATGGTATACAATTTGACAACTAATTAATCGACACTGGATGTGCCTTGATATGATTATGACCCGTTCTGCCACGTTTCTTTTTTAGAGAAAACTGTGCTCTGAATTTACTCAGCACTGAACTCCACTCTGTTACTCTCACCTCATTCGGAAAATGTCCCCGTCTCTTCATCACAATGTAAAGCTTCTTGTCTGCGAAAATGGACAAATACATAGTCATTACATTCTTCCGATGACTGTCAACTTGATTTTTTTTTTATTAGAGTTTCTGGAGCTATTTCATTGGGTTCTTTGAATGAACATATATGAACGTTCATAGGAAACTCCGAAGAGAAATTACCCGATGATTTTGTTTCATTTCAGTGTACCTCACGGCTCCTAGAATCCCCCGTAGCAACAGGCTACGAAGATTCACCAGATTCACGGTAAACGTGGAATCGACAAGCAAGCAAACGGACTCGCCGCAGAATGTAGGCAACTTTCAGCTCTACGGAGACGATATCGCAAGTTTCAATGAGGAATGCATCAACACCATATCAGAAACGAATACTGATCCAAAGAGCGAGGTATTCTTCATGTGGTCAGCACCACCTCCTGGATCGGGATGTGTCTCATTCAAGTAAGAGCTTTTTTATGAATACAAAAATTAGTTCACATGTCTCTTGAATTAGGTTTCATTGGCAATCATTTTCGTCTTGACCCATTCAACTCAAGGTTCACCGTCTGACTTAAAATGTGTTTTCAGATAATTTTGATCATGTTAATGGTCTATTTCTGATGTAATTCCGATGGTCATTATCACACAGTTTCCATGATCTCGAAATTTCACCATTTCACCATCTACTACAAGAAAAAATGATCTCATAAATGCAATTTTATATTTTTTTCTTCTGTGTTGTTGGGTTTTGTATCTGTGAATATAGATCTCAGTGTATTTTTCATTTTGTAAGTAGTTCCAACGTTATAACTATTTCCAAATTGTCTTATCTTTTCGGGTAGTTCTGGAATATAAGGTATAACGTTAATTGTGAAAGGGGTTTTAATGACATTTTTGAGTCAAGGGTGATTCCTGAATCTTCAATTGTATTTCTTGTTTCCAGTTCCGATTGCTTGATTTCATATGGACTATTCATGGGATTTTTATGCGAAAAAAAGTAAATTTATGACATTTGTCTCTATTTAATTGCAATTACTTGATATCACTCCAGAGTACAAAGTTACATAAATCGCACTGTAATAATTCAGTACCATATGAGTCATGAATAACTTTGAACATCTTCAGATCATCAGCAAACAGAAGAAATTCACTACAGAGAACAACATTGTCCAAGTCGTTTACAAATAGACTGAAAAGTAATAGCCCTGAATGAGATCCCTGTGGTACACCAGATGGAACTGTGATAGTTCACAAATTGGACTCTGCAGGCAAGATAATTCTCAAAATCCATTTCAGAATGTTTTCTTGAATACACAAAGCGTTTAGTTTATGCAACAACAAATTGTGATTTACACGGTCGAATGCCTTTGAAAAATCTGTGTAAATAGAGCCAATCTGGGGTCTATTTTCGAATAATGATGAAGTGTTGAAGAGATTTGTACTGGTAGATCTACCATGACTGAATCCCATGATAGCTATTAGTTATTAGAGTTTCTAACAAATTGTGTGATTCAGATCGATTGCAAACTGCTGGATAATTATGTCTAAATTTTTATTGAATGGAGGAGCCCAAAAGATGTTCAAAATGGGGACCATTTTCTGCAAAACATAATGTCAGTTTTTTTTAAACGAATTCTCTACACGTTCCAGCATATCCTCTGGGATTTTCCTGAAAGCTTTAGTGATTCTCTGTTTCATGTCTTCTATATATGTTGGGGGAGTTTGGTAGACAATCCATTTGACATACCCCCATAAAAAATCCATTTTGGTCAGGTCAGGTGATTGAGGTATTCCGGTACCTCAGTATTGAAATGTGGTTGTGCACTGTCTTGTTGTAGCCACATTCTAAGTCTTGTTTCATATGGAACACAGTCCAATAAATTCGAAAACTCATGCCGATGAAATCTCACATACTTTTTTCCAGTAAGATGCCCATCCATTACATACGAACCAATAACTTTTTTTCTGAGAATTCTACCCCAAACATTCAGGGACAAACGCTATTATTTCATTTCAGGTTTCTTTTGCCTAATATAATTGTTAATTTCAGCTATTCTTTTTTAATTCTTCTTTTTTACCAGTTGTTTCAGAGATTTTAAATCATTTTATATAATATCAGACAATGCGAGTCCGAACTAATGAAATTCATATTGTCTGCAAAATAGGTTTCTCTGGAATAACTTGGCAATGCCTCAATGGAAATTGGAAAACAAATATTCCCTAGAGAGATAAAAAATATGGAATCGAATGACTTTCGAGTGGATATAGGAAAGGGGTCAGATCGTTTATATTGATAATGAACAACAGCGGACCCAATACAGAGCCCTGAGGAACGCCCAGTTTGACATCTCCGCTTTCAGAGATGTCAAACGGGGCGTTCCTCAGGGTTCTGTATTGGGTCCGCTGTTGTTCATTATCTATATAAACGATCTGACCGCTTTTCTATATCCACTCGAAAGTGTTCTTTTCGCAGACGATACCACATTAATTTATTCACACAAAAATCACAACTCACTGGTCAGACTGGCTAAAGAAGCGGAAGAGAAAGCCAAGTCTTAGTTTCTCGCGAATAGACTCAAACTAAACAACGACAAATTCCAGCAATTAATAGTAACCACAAATACATCTCTACAGGAAGGCAGAAATGTCAGACTGCTTGGCCTTGTCCTGGATGAAAAACTCACCTGGTCAAACCATGTCAGTAACTAAGCCTAAAATTGTCCAGCTCACTCTTTATAATCCGCCAACTGAGGTCCGTAACAAACTCATACACCCTACGAACCGTCTATTTTTTCCTCTTTCAAACCCATCTTAATTACGGTTTACTACTTTGGAGAAACTCAACAGTGGCACCAAAAATATTCATACTACAAAAAAGGCTGTGAGAATTCTCTCCAACGCTAATTATCGTGACACATGCAGACCACTTTACAAAGCACTGAAAATTATGACCCTTCCGTCTCTCTTTATTCTGAGCACACTACTGGAAATACATAAGAACCTGCCGAATTTAACTCTGCAATCCGCTGTCCACGAACACAATACCCGCGGGGCCAATAAAATCAGAGTACCCAGATATAGACTTGCTAAATCTTCCAAAAACTCACACAACTACAAACTATATAATGTGCTACTAGATAAGTTAAAAAATGCAACCATGTATACGTTTAAATTCACTATTAAACTCTTCTTGACAACGCTTTCTACTCACTAGAGGAATATGAAACTTGATGACGTATACTCGCTGAGCAGTCATAAACCCATCCTAAACTAATAGTCTCACATGTATGTATCTATGTTTAATCTTAATATTAACACTTAATTTTAACTAGTTTCTTTTTTTTGTAACTTCTGCACTTTATATTTTATATTTTACATGTTTTTTATGACTATGTATTTATCATAGTCAAGTGACTCACTATTATTTTTATTGTTTTAACTTAGTTATAGTAATGTATCTCAAACTGCTTCAAGCATATGTATTGACGTGTCTATAAACTGTATGTTTCTGAAGATTAAATTTATTATTATTTTCATTCATATACTGGGTGTCCTATTAAAAAAAATTAACTTCGGTTGGCCACGCTCGGCTGAAACACCCAGTATGCGAGATAATAATTTTAAAAGATAGTATTTATCCATATATTAAAGAGGGAAGTAATACAAATTTCATCGATATGACTGCAAAAAAATTTATTAGTTCGAAAAATCATTTCCTTTGATAGCAATGGATCGAGGAAATCTTGTTGATTCACCCTGTATATTCTGGAATTTGGTTAACTGTTTCATCACTACATACAGATATATTGCACAAAACGATTCACAATATCATTGCTATTTTCGCTGACAGAATCATCATAATACATTTTTGGTGCTGTTTGTAGAGTCATTTGGTTTTCAATGAAAATTCTGATTTCCTACACAGAATTTATGATGCACTGTTTGGAACCTTTGGTGTAGTAATGAATATTACTGGAGTTTTTTCCCAACACCAAATCGTTATTTTCAACACCTCGACACGTGTTTCGATCACCAAGTGATCATCTTCAAAGAGGAAGATTAAAACTGTTTTAATGAAGATGATCACTTGATGATCACCTCGACACGTGTTTCGATCACCAAGTGATCATCTTCAAAGAGGAAGATTAAAACTGTTTTAATCACTTGGTGATCGAAACATGTGTCGAGGTGTTAAAAATAACGATTTGGTGTTGGAAAAAAACTCCAGTAATATCCTACACAGAAAGTAACTTTCGTTCAATACCTGAATCTTGTTCTGAGACCAATTAAAAAAAAATAAGTTGTTTATTATATTATTTCCCCGTTCACAGAGCTATGATATTTGAAGACTCAGATCACTGGTACTCTGAAGACGGAAAATTAACAAAAACGCTGTGTGAACAGAAAGAAGATGATGTTCAATTTGATAATGAAAAGGATTGCTGTGCCTGCGACGAAGCTAAGTATAATGTGAGTCCTTGTAACAAAAAAATAAATTACTTGTTGATTATTCATTGATAACATGAAATGAATTTTTCAAATGCATCGTTAGTTGGGTAATTTTCAACAGTAATATCGTGTATTCTGTTTAATAAATGAATACTTCTTCAATGTATTCATGATGATAATGAGCAGTGAGACCTTGATTTTTATCAGCTGTAACTTTTGTTCGTGAAATATATATAGAATTAAAAACATATTCATTGCAATGGAAACTATCACCCCATTACAATTTTCCGTAATTGTTTCAGGAAATGTTAGTTGGAAAAAATCAGTTATTTTCCTTCGGAAGGTAAAAACATAAAAAAAATTCATATCTGAACGAGTACTTCAGAAACTTCTGTTATGCGTTTTCTCATAAAGTCAATAGTTCAGGGGTTATGGTCGAAATATCAAAAATTCAAGTAAACGATGATACTCCACCAAGCTCGGTTTTGTGGTAGTAGTATTCACATAATTAAAATTCAAATACAGTTTTCAAAATTCAATTGAATGAAATCGGGATAAAAGTGAATTTCACTAGTTCGGACTTCCATTGTCTACTATATAAAATGATTTGAAATCCCTGAAACAACTAAAAAAGAAGAATTGAAAATGAATAGCTGAAAATAACAATTTTATTAACCAAACTAAACCTGAAATGAAATAATACCGAAATATACCGAAAACCCACTCATACGGGACAGTATCTGAACCACGAATCCAACCACCATCAATCGACTAAAAGAGGAATCATCAAGACTCTATTCGACCGTGCTTTTGGGCTTTGTAATACAATGGAAGGTCTCGAAAAGGAACTAGACATCATCAAAAATGATCTTCAATGGAATGGCTATTCCAAAGCGATGGTAGAAAAGACTTTGGCTAGAAGACAGCAGGAGCCTCGCAAGGAAGAGAAGCCGTCACAATCAGTGCTTGCACTTCCCTACATCAGAGGATTATCGGAGAGGATAAGAAGAATTGGTTCCGAGTACAACATCAGAACCTGCTTCAGATCCGGTAACACTATCCGTAGCAGCCTCACGAAAACCAGGCCACCAAACGCGGACTACGATTCCAAGAATTGCATTTATCGGATACCCTGTAAGAGCGGAAAATCCTATATTGGTGAAACTAAGAGGCCATTGAATGTTCGCATTGCCGAACACAAGAAACAAACACAGCGAGGGAAAACCAGCAAATCAGGAATAGCACACCATGTTTGGACCCATCAACACAACATCGAGTGGTCCCAAGCTGAGATCTTGCACAGAGAGGAACATTGGTTTAGGAGAAAATTCAAGGAAGCCGCATACATCTTGTCTAACAACGTATTCAGCCAAGCCAGCGTAGACATACGCAACATATGGAAACCCATCATCAAGCGAAAAATGGCCAACTCCCGCCAAAACAGTCATCTCCCACGGAACCAGTGAAGCGGAAAATGGAAAGCGGGGATAAGTGAAAGTACTCGAACGACCTATAAATAGTCATCTCTCGGAGGAATCAGTCCAGTCATCACCCGAAGACGATTGTAGATACTAACAATCGAAACGTCGTGAATTATCGTGACTTGGAATCTCTCCACTTTTTATTTTTATTTTCTTTTATCATTTCTTCATTGTTATTTATTCAATTGTTCTATTTTTACTTGTATTTTATTTCACTATTATTTCATTTCAGGTTTATTTTGCTTAATATAATTGTTATTTTCAGCTATTTTCAATTCTTCTTTTTTAGTTATTTTAGGGCTTTCAAATCATTTTATATAGTAGACAATGGAAGTCCGAACTAGTGAAATTCATCATGAAACATTGTCAATCACCTTCAAACAAACGAGATAAAAGTATTATTCGCTCTACGTTATATAATTTCAGTAGATAGGCTATGAGACTGGGGTCTTCCAAATGGAAAAAATAATATTTTTCCTTTCAAAAATATATGATATTTCCATTAGCTTAATTTTATTCATCTCACAAAATTCTATGATGGTACTCGATGAGTTTTTTTCGTAGATTAAATATCTTAGGAATAGTTCAAGAAATTATTCATTAACTTAGAAAATGTATTCAACGAGAGACAAGTGGACTGGAGAATTCGAAAAATTCTGTCTTTTTATTTCTGTTTAAGTGAACAAAACACATCATTATAACTTTTCCCGTAATTTATATATTCCAAAGCATTACCTATAGGTTCAAATAGGGGAGAAATTGACCATGTAATGAAATTTGTTGATAACAATGAGTATTGTGAAAAATCAATTATATTTTTCCTAATGAAGTCAATAATTCAGGACCTGTTTGCAATATTCTAGAAAATTGACAATAAATTTGAAATATTTGCTCAACTTGGAAACACTACATGCTGTAGTGGGTGTTATATTGAAAATGGGTTTGTGCCCATGGGGGTGGGCTCGCCATCACGTTTGGCGCTTGATTTTGCTTTGCTCACATTGTGGAAGGTTGAATACCAAAAAAAAATACCCTACAGAAAGAAGTTATTTCAACCCATCTTCTGTGTACATTTCCGTTTCAATTGAAATACTGAATATTAACAGTTTGAATGTTTTGAACAGGTATCAATTGTTATTATGGCCCAATTCAATTGGTCACATTGGGATATCATGTGATCTAATGTTTTTATTTATTGCTGCGGAACTCCCCTGGGTTAACGACCTAAATTTGATAATCTTTCTGTATTTCCAGTGATTGGCTAATTCTAGTTTCCTGTTGACTGTTTGTGACTCCAGAAGGTACTGATTGCTGCTTTATCTGCTGAGATGTTTTGATAGAAGGTTCAACATCACCCTCAATATAGTTCAACGATATAGTGCAACCTACATTCTAACAGTTCCCCTTTAATAATACGAAGCTGAATATTTTCGTTATTCAATAATGACTTCTGGTTATATAAGAATCACAATAAGTTGTTTTGGTTTTTGGTATAGTAATCTTCAAAATACAAATTGATATCCATTAAGAAATTTTGTATTTTATTACACTATTCGAATCCAAATTTGGAATCATTGTGTTTTCAAACCATCCCTCGAAAATATTAGCTTCCATGTTCTTATGATAATCAACATTGCAGTACTCAAATTTTTTCCACATAATTTCAAAGAATTCGGAACTCATCCTTCACTTCCTCCGCAATGCACAATGATTAGTCGCGATCCTTTATTTGCAGTCATGTTAGGCGTACGCATTCTCGAACCATCAGTCCCGTAACTATGTCGTGAAAATCATACCAAGTTTCGCCCAAATAGAAAATTTGCCGTTGTTCTTGTCTATATTCAGTTATTTGTTCTAAGTATTTGTTACGCAATTCCACTATTCTTCTGCTTTCCATAAATGCTTGACGTTTGTTTATTATTTTAAATCTGAATCCAAGTTTCTTTATCCATTCGATTCTGAAGAGTTTTGTCACAGAGGCTCATGTTATGGCAGAAAGTTTTCAATTTCTTCCTTATGATTTCACTCGTAGCAATCTCATAACTTTTGTAACAGTCGTATATTGTTTTATTTCAATGATTTTATCAGATGAACATCTAAAGGTTTTGGTAACCCCGTATCACATCGCTTCTTGCCTTCATAAGATTTGTTTATGACTATTTTACGTACAGTTGAGAAAGGAATTTCGGTCAAATCTGCTGTTGCTTGTAATAGTTTTTTCCCTCTAAACCAAACTTGAGATGTAGATTCTTATATACATTGAAATATACTCTCTGTGTTTCAATATTGAAATGCATCCGAATCTTATTCACTGGTACCTCTCTTTTGCATTGTTCACCATCGCTATTGGAATCACTACACAGGAAAAAGTCTGCGTTGTTATCACACTCGTTATTACTATTAGTACTTGTCCAAGGATGCCACATTTTAAAAATTTCAAGTAGGAAATTATAACTGCACCTATATCGAATTTCAACACTCAAATCGCGATCAGTTCCAGAACTGAACATTGACGACACAACGGCAATACTTATCCCCACATTCCATTCGTCACCGTAACATGACGCTTCAGCCAATCTTAAAACTCGGTTAATGAAAATCATCCAATACGAACCGCCAATTCTTCAGTCCACGTGAACTATTTGGCCCCGGCTTCATTTCTCTGTATTGTTTTTTTTTGGTCTTTGAGGGCGCCGACACTTTAAGTATGCACAATACCAGTAATTTCGACTATACTAGAGCGGTTTACAACTTCATATATTCATAAACAATCCACTGAGTCTGCACCATATCCAGGGACTGGTGCCAAGATTTTATTCTATATCATTTATAGTATATCATTTTATTGTATTCATTGTATCATTGTGACGAAATAGCCTTTTTATTTGGTTCTCTTCAGAAATATATGATGAATGAATAGATCAATAAAACATTTGTAATCTCTTGCCCCATCTGATCACACGAGCATATGAAGCAAGCGAAGCCAAGTAATTTGAATTGAGATCTTCATCACCAGCATTATCTTTCCACATTTTCTGTTAACAGATTATTTTCGAAGGCATATGGTCGAACAAGACGCACCCCAAAGATTTTCCATTTTCCTTATGGTTGACCCACTTTTCCGACGTCATCGGAGCCTCTCACGAAAAAAACTTCAGCTTCTGGGGTGAAGGACAACTGGCCTCAGAAGGTTTCAGGAGTCTGGCTGAATGGGGATCAGTTAGACTGATGGAGACCGAGCTCAGAGCAAAAAGTCAATTCTTGAGGACTATCATAAAGGCATCAGGATTGTGGTATCCACACGTCAACACCAACACCACCACGAGTTTCAAGGTGGACATACGCCATCACCTTATTTCTTTGGCGTCCATGTTTGGTGAGTCTGGATTGTATCATATTAATTTAAGTATCATCATTATTGACATAAAAATATTCATGGTGAAATTTTGGTGGAGGGATATGATTGATGATTATCGTTCCCGACTGATGATTTGTGAATATGGTATACTTTCTTCATAATCAATCAATGAACTCACTTTATTGTCTTATTGTCTTTATGTTCTTATTGACGGAGTCTACAATCCAATAAATTGATAGATGTAGCCGTGGTGATCGGAGATCATGAAAAATGAGAAATAAAACTTTCTGTTTTTTCACTGCTTGTATAATTTTGGTCCTTTGGACATTGTTGAAATTTCCACTCTGCTAAACTCTACTTTTAAGAAATTAATGATTCTTTCGCTGAATTGGATATCTGGTTCGACTGATTCGTTATGTATGATATGTTTTCTTTTGTGTTAGTGCCCTGAATTCCTCAAATTGAGTTTGGTACTTTAGGCATATAAAACTGGTAATTCTAGACCTAACTTGCCCCCTTACTATATGTGTCGTGGCAGAACTCTGCCAAAAGATGATTTACAAATGTAGAATCGGTCGTAATATTCAAGAAAGTAGTTTTATGTTCTTTTATCATTTGAATGAATATTCTCCCCGTTTGGCCAACATAAAGTTTTGAGCAAAAATCACAAATCATTTCATATATTTCTAATATATTTGACTATGGAATCATGTCATTCTTGTTTTAAGTAAAGGTGCTCAAATTATTATTTTGTTTTGTTAGCCACGTGTAAGCGAATCTTTTTCAAAAAGCGTACAATGTTATTGGTGGGTATACTAAAATATGTGAGTGTACTATGCTGTTGTTTGTATCTGTTGTATATGTTTGTCGAATTTCAGTTCTTTATCTACATTCAGTTCTAGGAATTTTGATTGTATCATGATTTTTATTTCGCCGTCATCCAGTGGATATGAAGAGACGGAATTACCATAAAAAAGTTTTTTTTTTATATCAAGCCCCAGTAGATTTGCCACGGACCTTTTTTCTAACAAGTTTATATCAGAGTGTCATGAATGATATATATTATAGTCAGGTGTGCCAAGTCATTAGTAACAAAAAAAAAACGAGGTAGTCCAAGTGAAGTTCCTTGTGGGACACCACATAGAATAACTTTTGTTTGTGACAAGTAGGTTATTCTCATGATTTGCAACATACAGTTGAAACCAGTTTATACATGGACCTTTGAAATCATAACAAATAAGTTTCATCTGCCATCTTTCGCGATTTACGTAATCAAAAGCTTTGGTCAAATAACACAACAATGTGTCACTAGCTCGCTATTGCTAAGATCATCTTACTACAGTTTGAATCGTTATAACTTTTGCGATATCATGATTTCAGTGATTTTTCTTTGTTGGCAAATATAGGTTTTATTCTTCTTTCAATTTCGTTTTTGTTATACTAGTTTCATTTTGATTAATGTAATGATTTTCATAGAAATTCAACAGTTGCAAAAAAACTTTAGGTATGTAGTAACTGGGTATATGAAGGTAATGAAAGAAGACGATGATAATTTTGTATTGTTATGATTTCCCCGTGGGTTTGACAATAATTGACTGCAATGTACAATTAAACTCAAAATTATTTCGCTGCTACACACTTTCAGGTAGACTTCTCGATTTGCGTATTGGTAGTGTTAATATATGGTAATGGAAATCTCTGGAAACCGATAGGGAAGTCCCTAAGAGTTTTTCGAAGCGACGCGATATCTAGAACAATCGCGAACTCCAATCGAGATGAGCGCGACCTTGGCCAAGTCACAATCGATTCACGAAGATCAGCGGTGGCTGGCGTTATTTTTTTCAGGGGATGATTTACAACAGTTATCTTATTTGATCATCGAAGTTTCGAAAGCCTTCCAATTTTTCTCTTCGTAAGACATAAAGTTCAATTCACAGAATAATAGATCTTCATCAATGATTATAGGTCCATCTCCAGATTGGGTGGTAGGAATAAATGGACTGAATCTCTGTCTCAAGAACTGCACGTGGATGGAAAAGTTAACTTTAGATCTATTTCCTTACGATGCCGGTACAGATAGTGGAATCTCATATATGGTAAGTAGAGAAAAGTATTATTTACTTTGCTTTTGAACATTTATCATTCAAATAACTATTGACAATGATGATAATAATGGGGAATTATTCTGTACATCGTGCATTTCCTTTCAAAATACAAAGGATACTCGATAAACCCAAAAAGTCATCTGAAATCATCATAATGGCTTTATATTCAATTAAAATTTGTTGTGTCAATGTATATTTCTGCAACCCTTGTAAAAGAATGGAAAGAAACAAAATTGGAAATTACCGCCAAGTCTCTTTGTTGAGCTTTTTCGGACTTCTCAGGGATTTCTGAAATTTTCTCGAAAAACTATCAAAATACTGCAAAGTGGTTCGGATTTAGAACAGGTGAAAATTCTGAAGATGCAATGTATATTCCTGTAATAAATGAATGAAAGCAAAACCAGTCTGTGTGTCTTCATTGGCCGTTCGAAAGCATTTGACACCGTCATTCACCATCTATTTGAAAATTATTTAACAGGAAGAAGCCAAGCAGTAAGAATCGATGATATATCGAGCAGTGATAAGGTGATTGACTGTGGAGTACCTCAAGGTTCCGTGCTGGGACCAATACTATTTAATATATTTATTAACGGAATTTTCGCATCAGGAAACATAGTCGGATTCGCAGATGACACCGCTATCTTTTACAAAGCAGATAACTGGAATTCCTTGAAAATAAAAGTTGAATCAGAATTCTCCCACATAAAATATTGGCTGGATAAAAAACTACTGACGGTGAATATTGACAAAACGTATCACCTACCATTATGTTGTAATGCAGCTGGAAGACCCCCTTTCAACCAATTAACAATAAAAACTGATACTCCTTTCCACATCTTCCCTGAAAAGAAAATGGAATACCTAGGAATAATTCTAGACACAAATTTGAAATGGGACCTCCATATTAAATATACCGTCAATAAATTGAGGACCATTCTATTCAAATTTAGGAAACTCAAAGAACTCCAAAATATCTCAAAACTTTATACTACTCGCTTGTGGAAAGTCATATCCGCTATGGAATAGTAGTCATATTTCTCAAATTGAAATTATGCAAAGGCGTTTTCTCAAATTAATATCCTCTAAAATTGGTAGGTATCCCTCTGATGAGTTATACATCGAAACTCGTCTGTTAGACATACGACAGTTGTATTTTTTATGCTCTAGCACTAAATATCATACAAAAAGACATACGGCATCGCTTCCTTCACATCAGTATGACACCCGCCAAAGTATACTACACCCTTAATGGTCAGGGTCGTTACACAAAGATAATTTACTTACTTTGCGCCTAAACTCTACAACCGAATTCCTGAAAATATGAAATCTATCTCAAATATCAATCGCTTCAAAAAAGAGTTGAAAGAGCATATTCTTCAAAGTCAGAGACTTGAACTTCTACGTCTATTTGAGTAGATGGAAAAAAACCATACGTACCTTTGCTATATTGTCCACTTACAATTTTGTAATTCATATGTGCTCATATATGTATGTATATATGTGTATATATGGGCACTATCGTTTTGTAAATATATATCACATCCATTTTCAACAACATCCATAACGATTTCAACATGTTTTTATATATTATTACTAGTACGCGTATTTTACAATTGTGATTGTTATACTTAACTGTCAATTTAGTTTTATGTTTGTATGATTTTATATTCAAATAATATTATATGTCAAAACTGACAATTTTTTATATTTATACTTATATTTGTGATTTTATATTATCTAATGTGTTTTTAATTTCATATATTAGGTAGTTTATTTTCATATGCAAATCCCCTTTATATATAATTCATTCTCATACTCTGATATTTATCATATATTCATTTTTTTTTCTCTGGATCTCCCTTTCACCACATACAAGCAACATCTGATGCTTCTGTGGTTTCTACAATGTTTATTTAACTGTATGTATTACTTTAGTTATTTCTTTTTGTGATTCGAATGTGAATAAACATTATTATTATTATATTATCATTATTATAATGAACGCCTTGCAGTGAGCCATTCATTTCATTCACATTTAATTTTGTTTTCAGTCTCCCAATGCCGAAACTAGTCCTAGAGAAAGAATGTATCGAATCACAACTACCTACCCAGAAGATCCAAGGGCTCCTTTCTACGACCCCTCCAAGAAAGAAATGCATCCCTTGGCAAGGTTATATCTCACAAGGGAAAAGCTGATACCAAAGAACTGTGACGAGAGTTTTCTGACCGCGCAGTTGGATGTTAGCGAAAATAATGAAGATACATCAAGACGTAAGTAACCACTATTTATTCATTTATTTATCCTGAAGTCGTTTATTTATCGTGAACCTGTAATATTTTCAGCTGAGTGTGACGTCACAGAATACACAGATTGGAGTGAATGTTCAGTTACCTGTGGGAAAGGTCTTCGAATGAGAACAAGAGAATACAAGATGGCGGAAAAAGCTAAAAGGAACAACTGCAATCGGCAACTGGTTTCGAAGGAAATGTGTGTAGCAGCTGTGGCAGAATGTGAAGTGTGAGTTTTCAGTAAATAAAAGGCCACAGAGTAATGTTAATTTGAAAAATAATAGCTGAAACCCAGTAGTTTATAGTGAATATCCTTCTCAAATTACCTGATATAGCTCTGAATGTACTAGCTGAAGCAATTAACTTGTCGTTGTCCCGTGGGACATTTCCGTCAAATTGGCAACTATCATTCCCTTTCACAAGGGGGGTGATTTCGAGTCGCCTTCCAGCTACAGACCAATTTCTATACTACCATTTCTGTCAAAAATTGTCGGGAAAATTATGAAGAGGAGAATGACAGCATTTCTCAAAAAATTCAATATTCTAAGTAACCGCCAATATAGATTTCAATGTTCTAAGAACACTCAGGACGCCATTTTCACTTTCTTAGAATCTCTTTATATTAATTTAAATGAACGAGAGGCTGCGGCGGCGATATTTTGTGATTTATCAAAGGCATTCGACTGCGTAAATCGTGGAATACTGCTCCGCAAACTTGAAGTTTATGGGTTTCGAGGCACGGTACTGTCCTGGCTCAGGTCGTACTTATCGGATCGTGGCCAAATTATATCATTTAATGGTATTGAGTCTGGAAAGCAAGTAATTGAGAGTGGAGTTCCTCAAGGATCAGTTTTGGGCCCGACTCTATTTCTCATTTATATTAACGACCTCGCCAACTTAGATATCAATGGTGAAATTACTATTTTTGCAGATGATACATCGATTCTATGCCACAACAAAAGCTCTTCAGAGCTTAACTACCACATAAGCATTGATATAGAAAAAGTTAAGAAATGGTGTGATTCCAATTTTCTAACTTTCAATATAAGCAAAACAAATATCATAACATTCAAGGGCGACTTAGATGATGTTTATTTGGACAAGGAACAAATCTCCATTTCTACGGATAATAAATTTCTGGGACTTCTGATTGATAATAAATTGAAGTTTGGTAACCACATTACAAAACTATGCAATCGATTAGCTTCAGGTTTCTTTGCGGTTCGTGTCATTGCTAATGAGTTGAATTTGGGTATAGCGAAGAACGTATACTACGCACTAATAGAATCTCATCTTCGTTATGGAATCTGCTTCTGGGGCGCTTGTGCTCAGTATTTATTTCAAAGAGTATTCTCTCTCCAAAAAAGGGCAATTAGATACCTATGTTGTTCTGATTACTGTGAATCCTGTCGTCCCTTGTTTATGCAACATGGAGTTCTGACATTGGTTTGTATCTACATTTTGGAAATGGCTTGTCTCATGCACAAAAAATACCAAGCTATAATTACTTCTGAGTCAACATATAACACTCGCTCCTCTCACTCGATCTTGCTTCCAATTCCCTCCTCAACCGTATTCTCTCTCCAAAAAAGGGCAATTAGATACCTATGTTGTTCTGATTACTGTGAATCCTGTCGTCCCTTGTTTATGCAACATGGAGTTCTGACATTGGTTTGTATCTACATTTTGGAAATGGCTTGTCTCATGCACAAGAAATACCAAGCTATAATTACTTCTGAGTCAACATATAACACTCGCTCCTCTCACTTGATCTTGCTTCCAATTCCCTCCTCAACCTTAATTCGCAACTCTCTAATTTTTGAGGGCAAGAAAATTTTCAATCACCTTCCCCTAACCTTGCGTGTTATCAAAAGCGAAGTCAAGTTCAGAAAATCTGTAAAAATGCTCATAGTTGGGAGGGCCTGGAAAAATACTTTCAGGATTCTTTTTGCTGAGATGTCTATCTTTGGCGGCGGTCATATAACGTATGCCTAATTCTTCATATATTTAGAGGTAGTCCTTGTAATTTCATGTACAAAATGTAAAAATTTTTTCTTTTTGTTTTTCCGGCATGTTACTTCATTCATTTAATTGGCACATAGTAGTTTTGTTGTTCAATGTTATTTGGCTTAGTGGTGTAAATCTTGTTGCTTTTGTATGTGCAATTATGTCCGCTTATTGTTAGTGTGAATTTATGTGTATTTATGATCTCCTTGCTAACTGTATATTTGTGATGTTATCGTGGTGACTCTATGCTTTGTCATGAGAATTGTTATTCTTGGACAACAAAGTATATTTTGATTTGATTTGATTTGATACTTCATAGTCACTCTCTATATTTAGGCCCCTATAGAAAATCCAAAGATATGCAACAAACACGTCAGCAGCGGTGGCAGAATGTGGAGTGTGAGATTTTAGTAAATCAAATATTACATACTAATGTAAATTTGAAAAATACTAGCTGAAACCCAGTATTTCATTTCACAGTCATCAATAATATAATGATACACCACTCTCTATATTTATGCCTCTATAGAAAATCCAAAGATATGCAAAAAACTCGTCAGCAGCGGTGGTAGAATGTGAAATTTAACTTTTTAGTAAATCAAATGCCACATAGTAATGTTAATTTGAGAAATACTAGCTGAAACCCAGTAGTTTATTTCACAGTCATCAATAATATAATGATACCACTCGCTATATTTAGGCCCCTATAGAAAATCCAAAGATATGCAAAAAACACGTCAGCAGCGGTAGCAGAATGTGGAGTGTAAGTTTTCAGTAGATCAAATGCCACATAGTAATGTATATTTGAAAAATACTAGCTGAAACCCAGTAGTTTATTTCACAGTCATCAATAATATAATGATACCACTCACTATATTTAGGCCCCTATAGAAATTCCAAAGATATGCAAAAAACGCGTTACCAGCGGTGGCAGAATATGAAGTGTAAGTTTTTAATAAATCAAATGCCACATAGTAATGTAAATTTGAAAGATACTAGCTGAAACCCAGTAGTTTATTTCACAGTCATCAATAATATAATGTTACCACTTTTTATATTTAGGCCCCTATAGAAAATCCAAAGAAATGCAAAAAACACGTTATCAGCGATGGCAGAATGTGAAGTGTGAGTTTTTAGTGAATCAAATGCCACATAGTAATGTAAATTTGAAAAATACTAGCTGAAACCCAGTAGTTTATTTCACACTCAATAATTATACAATGGTGCCACTCTCTAATGTTTATGCGCTATAGAAAATCCAAAGATATCCAAAAAAACATCAGACTTGTTCTCAAGAGGTACATTTTGTAGGTGCATCATTTCTGAAATCTCAATTACATCTTCTGTTTTTGTTTATTCAGAGATGAACACGATTCCCAGGAAATTGATGCATTGGGGGATAACACAGGGGTATGTGCCACTACTGACTGGAGTGGGTGGTCAACTTGTTCCGAAACTTGTGGAGCTGGTACACGAATGAGGACCCGTAAATTTGTGGACCGAAAAGGAAGAAAGAAGTGTCCTCACATTTCTATCAGTAAGATTTTGCATTTTTTTCCAGAAATGAATGTAGGAACACTACAGAAAATTTAATTTTCCATTTTTATACGATATACTTGTACAGCGCTATGGATTTAGCAAGACCAAAAATGCCAATTTTCTCATCCAAATGTCCATAAAAACTGGCAGGGCCGAATTGGTAATTTTGTCGCAAGATTTTTCAGAAACTCCATTGAAAAGTCACTATATTTCTGTTAATCTTTTAGTGAATTTTTGCAAATCAGATTGTCACCTGATTCCTTCCAATTTTGACACCAGTTTCATCAAAATCATATCTTCAACAGAGATTTCGGAATTTCACACATAGAAAATAAAGGTTTGAAGCTTAATTATTTGGAAGGAATTGAAATTGGTGAACTTGAAAATTGAAACATTTTACTGAATGACCAATTGGATTTTGATAGATCGCCATTACTGATTACGTGGGGTATATAAAAATTAGAGTATATAATTGAATTGATTTTCAGTATGTCATTCATTAAAAAAAAGCTACTCTAATAGCGAAACATGTCGTGATATATGTAATATATTGCACTTGTCTCTAGATTTATATTAATTTTGATAATATATTATTGCAAATCATTAAATATGTCACTGAATTCATTTGAAAAGTCCCTGGGTTTCTTTTGATTGTGACACCATGTTCATTGGAAAGTCCATAGATTTCTATTAGTTCTGATACTGAATTTCTGCAAATCGTCCCAGATTTGTCACTGGATTCATTGAAAAGTCACTATATTCCTTTAGATTCTGACAACGAGCACCTTAAGAATTTTTCTGTAGTGCTTGTGTTCTATCCTTGAAAAAAGAAGAGAGTTCTTATTGACTGTGTTACTGAATTTCTACTTCGCCAAATTGGTCAATGGATTCATTAAAAAATCAATAGATTTCTTACCATTTCGACATAAGATTCATTTCCACAGATCGTCAGATTCGTCACTGGATTCATTCGAAAGTCAATTCTTTTCTGTGAATTTCATCATTAGATTTTTAAAGATCATCAGGTTTTCAAAGTATTAATCAAAGTAAACTCATTGAGAAATCTATTGACTATTCTATGAATTGTTGTGGAATTGGCCGCGGTGGTAGTGCGCCCGACTCACGATCGGAAGGCCGTGGGTTCTATTACCTCCTCGACCAGATATTTTTCTCGAGAGAATTTATCTGGTTGAAGCTAGGATGATTCCGGAACCGTGTTAGGAATCACACGTTAAAAGATAAGACCTCATTAGATTTTTTTAACAGAATATAATGTTAAAATTGAAAGGAATCTGATGACTTTAAGGGTGGATCTAGTGACTAGGATCTTTTGGACTTTTTGAGACCTGTTATTCTACTATGGAGCATGGAACATGGAAAAATCGGCATTTTGGTCAAGATAGTCCCATAGATCATATGATAATTTTTAGTGGAAAAGGAGAAATGTATGAACCGTGAATGCAGAGCTGATGAGTTGGAACTGCCCGATCCTCTTTGTCCAACAACTCAATGGAGTGACTGGAGTCCTTGCAGCGCTTCTTGTGGAAAAGGAATCAAACTGAGGACCAGACTGTTATTGGTGGATCCATCGTTACAGCAACAATGTAGCAGTAGGGTAGAAATGATACAGCAATTGCCATGTGAAGATGTGCCAACTTGTTTCATGGATATGAATGTTGCAAAAGGTATTTTCAGTAATAAACTTTGAGAAAAAATATCTCTACTTTTGCCACTAATGAGAAAAGTTGAACCTACGTTAGGAGGTTAGGTTGGTTCAATTTTCATTTCCGCCGAGGAACTTTTCGAATCCAAAGGCTATAAAAAATGTGATTAAAAATGTTTTAAGCAAAATCTATGTTAAAATTCAGTGTTAAATTATCTTCAAGAGTGTTATTTTTAATATTCAACGAAAGTCATTTTTTGTGGAGGAAAAAATCAGTTTTTTATCGACCTTTTTTTTGGGTAATGGTTACCTTCCACAATCTGAAAAAATATAAAAATTTTATTTTTTCAGATTGTGGAAGGTAACCATTACCCAAAAAAAGGTCGATAAAAAAGTTATTTTTAACTTTTCTAAATAGTGGAAATAATAGCATGTCAGGAGAGATACTATTACAATGTTTGATTAAAATATTCCGATACATGGGCCTTAGTTAGAAAATATTATGAAACAACACAACAGTAAGCTACCCTTCGAAAGGGGTACCTTCAACTTCTCTCATTGGTGGCAATAATAACAAAAAGAAAAATACGGTTATTTAGTTTGCTCGAAATGTTCTGATGACAACAGTTTTTTTATCACAACAGTAAACTACCCCATATAAGGGTGGATCGCATGTTTATGATTCGTGTCATAAGTAAAAATCATGTACGTCTTTGAAATTTACCGTGCTGTTCGGATTATAATTTCATTTTTGGGCGATCCTTTTCTGGTCAGCAAATTATCCTCGCTCGTTGATAAGTATTAGTACCCCAAATTGCAATATGGAGTTGAAGCAGATGTCACTCATAGGATTGCTACATAATACAGTAAATGAAAGAGATAAAATTTCACTTATATGGCACACTGTCATCCTCAATGGCGGACATCGATGTTTCAGAATAAGACACTTGTCTTATTGCCTCTGCCACACCAATATGGATGACATTGTAAGATGAAGCACTTCATTTACTCATAAAATTACAACTTTATGTCATGAATGAGTTGAATCTACTCATGTCACGATGACATGGAGCGATTAATTTTTGGAAATGAAGGTTTTAGTGTTTTTTAATCTTGACATCTTCATACAAAAATCTGGGAAACTTGCAAGGGGAAGAAGAAAACAATTAATGGCAAAATGAACTATTCACAATGATTTATAGATCATGCATTGAAGTTGATTTCAGACACAAACTGAAAGAAAAAGCCCTGTTGTAACAACTACCTTCATATAAATGTTGAATACCATGGAAGAAAGGGTAATTTCAAAACAATTAATTTTATATAAACATTGAATTATACAAAACCAAAACCTTTTTTCTCCAAGAATTATTATTGCCTAAAAGTATATTCCTTTCGATTGACAAATTTATTAACACTTCCAAAATACAAATCATGAAATTATAAAACAACAATAAAAATTAATTGGCACTCCGGGGCGACTTTATTGATTCCAGTGGCGCATTTGCTTTTTCAGCTGCAGGAAAATCCGGAAAAACCTGTGGTACCACATCATCTGAAGATTTCAATCTGCCGATGTCCTCTCTCTCTCATGAAACAAAATGTAGGGTGTCTCCAGAGGCTCCAATAAATTAAATACATCGCCAGAGCACTTCGTGACACGACTATCGTCAAGCTTAAACCAGTTTGTTTCGTCTTTGAGCAAGGCGTAATAATGACCCAATTCAACGGCAGAACCACAGTGAACAATGACTGCATGAATATTATAATAGTGGTCTGTTAGAGTTCATTTATTTCAAACATTCGTAAGAGTTTAGTGCTTACGTCAGAGATTATAATACTCAGTTAGTTTGGCGCATGTTTGGCAATACAGTCTCTCATCACCTGTTAAAAGTTCCATTTTCAGATGATTCAACAATAAGCTTTGCGCAGACTGGTTATTAGTCATATTAGGAAACGCTAGTTGGAGTTCCAAAGTTTACTTCGTTTTTGCTACCTCTTGAACATTTACTACAAAGTAAACAAGTGAGAATTTTTCCAGCAAAAGATTTACAAACACAAGACGAGATAGACTGTATGGAATCATTCAATCCAGAGCGGTCAGGAGTATTAATTCTGCTATGGTTTTGCTCACGAAGAGTATTCAACAACAACCCCAAGAATTCGGAGCAATCCTCTTGTCCTAACGAGTATCTAGTGGACTTCAAAGACTCCAGGAAACCGGTTGGAGTGAAAGATGATACATTCTTACGAAACTGTAGCTGCATGAACAGAACATGCTCGTTCTCGTTCATCATTAAAACCTCGTTCTTGAAATTCTTCGTCATGAACAACACTTGTTAAAAGCTATTCATGTAGCAAGTGTTTCCTAAATCATCTAATCAATTTTCTTCTCAAGGTTTTCAGGACAACTTTCTACTGATTCGTAAGGAAGAACATAAGCTGCATAAGAACCATTTCTTAAGCTGCAATCGATCCTTCCAAGTGATGAAGGGTTTCGAAGAAGGATCGATTCGGATCTTGCTTCATGAAGCTCTTCCGCTGAAAGGGAACTAAAACCACGAGGACTGAATAAATAACATAGAATACATATACAATAACTCAAATAAAGAGAAATAAAGGGATTTTTTCTAAATCTGAATCTGTCGCATAATTTGGAAAAATTGTTGTAATTCGAGATTTTTTTTCTAGTTGTATGCATGCAGGATAGTGATCCCGGACCTTGTCAAGGGTACTATAACAGGTGGTGGTTCGACTCAACGAAACTGAGATGCCTGCCATTCATTTTTGGAGGCTGTCGAGGAAACAGAAACAACTTTTTGACTGAAGAACAGTGCATGGATACTTGTCAGATCGTTAAAGGTGAGATGCTCTCTCTCTCTCTCAATGCAAACTTCTGTTCATTTATTGACTTCAGTAATAAAGGGTGGTCCCAGAAGTACCTGAGCCAACGAAGAAAACCCGAAAATTTTGGAAAAAAAAATTTATTTTTCAACATAATTTTCTTGCAGCCACATACACTTTCACCAGCGCCGTTCAAAAAGTTCGATACCGTTTTTATAATAAGAACTGTCTTGCTTCTCAAAACAGCCATTAATTGCCAATATCACTCCTTCATCGTTGGAAAATCTTTGATAACTGAGCCATTTCATCAAGTTTAGGGATAGAAAATAATCCGAGTGGGCTAAATCTGCCGAATAGGGTGTACGGGTAGCAATTCAAACTTCAATTCGATAATTTTTGTCAGTGCGATAATGGATTCATGAGCTGGTACAGTGTCTTGATGAAATACACTTTTTTCTTAGCCACATGCATCAATTTTTGCTTCATTTCTTCACTCAATCGTGGCAATAAGTTCGCATAATACTCGCCGTTGATAGTTTTACCTTTTTTAAGAAGTCAATGGAAATTATCCCACGCACATCCCAAAAAAACGATGCCGTGACCCTGCCTGCACATGTAACGGTCTTTGCCTTCGTTGGAGTCCACTGTTTTTTTCAAGGACAAAACACAAGCACTACAGGAAAATCCTTGAGGGGCTCTTTGTGTGATGCCTGTGCGAAAATAGTGATTCACATTGGATTTGAATCGCAGGAGATTAAATCTATTTGGAAAAATTTTCTCAAAAAGTTTATTCCACATAAACGCAGTTCTCCAAATGAAATAGTTATTAAGCAGTGTAGTTCGAGGTGTACTGAGTTGAACCTCAAAACAACGAGCAGCTACAGTTCGTCACATATGTAGGATATGCACCGCTCTTGGTGGAATCAAATGTGATTTCACTTTCCGTGAAAGTATCTATAGAAGAGAGACAAATCTCCAACCTTTCTTCGATGGTCCAGACTATTAAGGTTGCAAGTGATATTCGCGTCTCTAATCAGGCGTTTTTTCAGGAAACTGAAGAGCCATACACAAAAATGATCCGAGAAGCCACATCATCGACGTTTGGTCAACAAACCCTAATGCCACACATAGTGAAAGGCCTTAGAAATATCAAGCGCAACAGCTCTTGATTCTCCATGTTTCTCCATTGCGTTGTTCCAAATATGGGGGACATACGATAGAAGGTCGCCTGTTGATCTTTGTTTCCGAAAGCCATATTGATGATCGCTCAAGATGTTGAAGCCTTCCAAATATTTGAGGATATGGTAATTAGCGACGTTCTCCATGACTGATAGCAAAGCTTCTGGTCTATAGTTATTTGGAAGAGTTTTCTTGCACTGTTTGGGAATAGGCTGAATGCTAGCAATCTTCCAAGAAGAAAAAACCCCTTCCTTGTAAAACAGGGAAACTGTCAATATAAAGGCCAAAAATTTTGTGCAATCTTTATTTTCAATCTTCTCATTTTCTAGAGGCATATCTTCTACAGTACATTCTAAAGTTACCATATTTGTTTTTCTTATATTCAAAGAGAGAAGATTCGAGTCGCAGCAAGACTTGATTTCATTTATATCTCTGATTATCTTATTATTCAGATCTTCAACAGTTTTATTATGCCATTAAATAGTGGTGTCGTCTGAAAATAAGGTAATTAAACCTTTTTTAGGTCACAAAATTCTGCTGCAGCTACATCTCCGGCATTTATATCTGAATATACCTCATACAGAAAGGAAAAATTGCATCTTGGGTGTTCTTCTTATCCTGAAATCCGAATTGATTTTCTTTGATAATTTTACGAGCAATAAGGAATTCATTGAGCATTCAGCTGAGGATATTTAAGTTTCTCCATTGCGTTGTTCCAAATATGGGGGACATACGATAGAAGGTCGCCTGTTGATGTTTCCGAAAGCCTTATTGATGATCGCTCAAGATGTTGAAGCCTTCCCAATATTTGAGGATATGGTAATTCGCGACGTTCTCCATGACTGATAGCAAAGCTTCTGGTCTATAGTTATTTGGAAGAGTTTTCTTGCACTGTTTGGGAATAGGCTGAATGCTAGCAATCTTCCAAGAAGAAAAAACCCCTTTCTTGTAAAACAGGTTGAAAAGTCTGCAAAATATTGGTGCGAGTCATTTGCGCACTATTCAAGTACGATAACGGGTACTTCATCAGGGCCAGATATTGAGCAGTTTCAAAATTCGTCTGACTAGACACTGTCAAAAAGTAATTTCCGGCTTTGTGGATTCTTGTGTGGGAATAATAAGTGTGCCCTTTCCTTTTGATCGTTCTTTTGCCTCAGGTGTAAAGCGATAGACCCATGTTTCATCCAATAAGTCCGCTTTAATGCTGTGGAACTTCGAAAAACACTCAGTTGAAACACCTTTACGTCACTGTTTTTGCTCAATTGTTAGCAAACGCGGTACCCATCTTGCACACGGCTTTTTTGTTAAAATTTTCAGATAATATACGATCTATCGCACTTTTTGAAATTCTTACTAAGTCTGCTAGCTCGCGCACTCTTAGTCCACGATCGTTCAGTACTGCTTCGTGGATTTTCTTTACCGTTTCTGGAGTCGTCACCTCTTTTGGTCGACCACTGCGATACTCCTCTTGACAGGCTCTGCTTTGCTTGAACTCTGCTATCCAATATTTAGCTGATGTAAACGAAGGAACAGACTCACATAGAGTAGAATCTGGTTCATATTTTATATTGGGTGGGCTAAGGCCTTTCAAATAAAAGTATTGTACCACATAACGATGACCAATTATCTCCATTTTGACAAATTCCCCGAAAACGTTCGCCATTGATGGCTGCCAAACAAATACTAAACAACGCAGCGTCTTCAAATTCGAAACGTATGCTTTATAGATTGTGTTCATCCTAATACCGTGATATCTGTCAAACAACTACCGCCATCTCTAGGTCAGGTCGGGTACTTCTAGGCCACCCCGGTAAATATACTCATATATTATAACAGAATGGTCAATGCAGAAAACATACTGACTGCTTCAAAATCAAATCGTACTCCTTGAGTTTGTTTTTATTCCTCAGATGCTATATTAGGAAGCCCAGCAATCACAGCTCAAATAACAAAAATTCGACCAGTCGACTGTGAGCTAACGGAATGGTCAGAATGGAGTTCTTGCAGTACAAGCTGTGGTCGTGGATACAAGGAAAGATACAGAGTGGTGAAACGACGTGCTGAAAACGGCGGAAGATGCCCAGGAAGTCTATTCCAGAGAAGAGGATGCTTCGTCAGAGCATGCCTGTGATTACAGATACTTTCATTTTGAGTTCATTAAATATTTCAATGTCATTTGAATATTTTTGGCTAATATACAAGTTATTATTTGACCGTGAACTTGAGATTTGGACGCAGTCGATAGATTCCATGCCCGCAGATATTTTATTCATTCATTTATTTATTCATTAACTCATTATTTCACGGTTACAAACCCAAAATACTTTCATACACAAGGGCGTACCCAGAATCAAAACTATGAGAAGATGAATCATGGCTGTTCAAGTTGTAACATTTTAGCACGCAAAAGGTTAATGAAACCAACGTTTCGAGGAAATTATGTATAACTATAACAGTACAGGTTTAATTCATATCCTTTATTTTCTGTAAGAGAAAGAATATTACATAAAACTAAAGGATGCTGGTCTGTTAAATGTGAAATGTTGCAACTTTGTTTCACAAGATAATTAATAGTCCGTCTTACTTACACCAGAAAATTACGAGACATCGAGATGACATCAACCGGTTCAATAACAATTTCAAATGATTCTTACTGTCTTCAAACTATTAACGACCCAATAGCTACCTACCCATTACAAATCTACAAATAGTTATAGGATTTTAAAATAATTATTCAATTTTCCATTTTTGTTTATTCCTTTGCGTACTAGGCGACATTTTTGAGGTTACGTGGAAGAGCAATTGAATGATGACTTGGCATCATGCAAATTGAACTTCGCCTTTTATCTTCACATAACACTAAAATTGTACCTGTTTAATTTGTTTAAAACGAATCAGAAGTTAATAATGACGATATTATTATTATTTTATTGACCAAGGCGTAATAATGACCATATTCAACGCCAGAACCACAGTGAACAATGACTGCATGAATATTATAACAGTGGTCTGCTAGGTTGAAATGTTCATCTATTTCGAACCTTCCAAAGAGTTTCTTGCTTCCGTTAGAAGTTGAGTCTTGTTTGGAAATCATCAGTGTTATTATTAGATTGACTGGAGCCTCAGCTATACTTGTTTCCTTATAACAGTTAGTTATTTTTATATAATTTTTCACTGCCACATTTGGGTGTTATTATTATTATTATTATTATTTTTTCAACGTAGTGTTCGCTGGTCAGGCCCTATCCCCCGAAGCCCCGATACATTCAGGAGGGCACGCCAGCATCATCAACCACACCGTGGTGTAAGTGTAAGTGATCAATGGGTCCGAGAATCATATGCCCTGAGCAAGCGCAGTGAGCAAAGGATGACAGCCTTCTGCATCTGTGTGGCTGAGATTTCTGCCATAGTGCGGCAAGCCGTTATGATTTTAAGATTCGAGAGTAAAGAGGGCATCATTCCACCATGGACTCCAATAATCAGAACAACCATCTTGACAGAGTGGGCTGGATAGAGTCTGCGGAGTTCGAAGAGAAAATCTAGATATTTCATCCGTTTCTCCTCCTCTTTTCGGACGATATTAGTCTCGCCAGGAGCTGAAAACTCCACGACAAATATCGTCTTGCTCTGGTGGTCGAGAAGGACTACATTATGCTTATTAGCTTGTAAGAGCCTGAGGGTGGGGAACGAATAGTTCTGATAAATTTGGCACTTCTAGTTCCCCACAACGGATTCAATATCCCCCGGAGCCTAGGGCAACAACGGTGTCTCGTCAATACCGTAAGAGTACCGTATATGATGATATAGCACTCTAAGGGCCGTATTATGTCGATGGATATAGGCCGAGACCGCATATGCTGGACATGCTGATAGCAAGTGCATTAGGGTCTCGGGCGCCTCGCGGCACGCCCTGCACCTTGTGTCAGGAATCTCTATACCCATCACGCGACTGCGGTAGACTATGGTATTGAAGACACCATTCTGGCAAGCCATGATGAATCCCTCAGTTTCCGACTTCAGTCCACTCGACCTGAGGAGAGCAAAAGTCAGGCGCAGAAGTGAGGTTATCTCTGCGGCTTTTATATGAGCTTTTCGCTGAACGGGTTCCAACTCAGTGACACAGTTGTAGTCACCTCGTTCAGTGTCGAAAACTATAACGAATTCATCAGCTGCTCGGGTAGCTGCCCTAAAGAGAAATGTTCCAATTCCTGCTCTCTCATGGTCACGGACCATGCAGAGAAAGGGATCCAAACTCCTGACGACTTTACAGGCTGTATCCAGTACCATTCTATCATGTAGACACTCCAAACTCAAAAGTACAAGGCCTCCCTGTTATCGGGGGAAGTACAATCGTGGCAGCAACGTTGTTCTTTCCCGACAGTTCCGATGACCAGATATGTCGAAGTTTGTGCTGATACTTGCCGTGGAGAGAGTTCTTCACTGCTGTTACCTCTTGTGAGTGGCGTTGTTTCACCCCGAGGTGAGTATACGTCTCTCCGGCATCCAAATGGTGTAAGATGCTTTCATCTACGAGCTGCACATCCTCTCCGTAGTCCCCGCATCGTCCTCTTTTGAGATGGACCATTGCACATTTGTCTATCCCGAATTTCATACCGATAGCATGCGTGTACTCTTCCACCACCCTCAAGGACTGATGGAGATCCTTCTCTCCAAAGGCATAAAGTTTAAGATCATCCATATAAAACAAATGGGTGACCTTGTGCCTCCGGTTTCCGGGGGTGCCACAGTTATACCCTCGAGTATTTCTGAGCGCAACGGATAATGGCAATTGTGAGATGCAGAAAAGAAGGGGAATCACCCTGAAATACACCCCTGCTGAAAGTGACCCACCCTGTTTGAACTCTTGCTTGACCAGATGTTATGGTGAAGCGAGTTCGCCAAATTGGTATTAGTTATTCAATGCATCTCACTATTTTGTCGGGTACCGACAAATAATAATTATTATTATTATTATAAATATTATCAGAAGCATTGATAGTTAATCTTGAAAAAGCAACTCACACATTTCTTTAAGAACGAATAGCCATGTATGATGACGTGCTAATCATTTTCATCAAGATACGCGATACCATTCGATCATGCAATACAGGTGAACCGGGAAATCGTTTTTGAACTGGATAACAATGCATAATCGATTTTTCCGAAAGTACACGAACTTTGCTCGACATTATATTGCGCACTCGCCTCCATTGATTTCATCCAGAGGAATCCTTGTTGTCCTTCGCATTTACTGTTCGACCCTTGGGGTAAGTAACTGTCCTATTTAACTAATTTAGCATGGACTTATTGTGTAACTGAAGTAATGTTGTTATGAAGTGAATGTAGCTAGAAAATCTGTCATATATTCAGAAGTGTTCTCTTTGGAAAACTTGATGGCTAGTGTTGGTATGGCAAAGGTTGAAAATAGCATATGGAGTACCTGTATTGAATTCTAATGACGTGTCAGATAAATTATGTTGAAATCACTTCTTATATATTAGGATTTCTATAGAAATCAAGATGTTATTAGAATAATTCGTAATTTGGGCTGAGAGTTTTGAGTTCTAAATGTTTTGAAGAAGATGACCTTATTTCGTATATAACAGGTGGTTTATTGGGCTAGTCTGGGTTTCTACAAGTTATACAAATTAACGATGCAGATCTTCAGTGGAGAAAGAGGAAAAGTTTCATGAAATTATGATTTTTTTCATTCTTGTATAAGGTTTTTGACGTTTCCGGCATTCATTTTACATAAAAGCGTATATGCCAGAGAAATTGGTACAGTTGATATCCTACTTTCTACCAAAAAGAGAAATTCGGTAAAACCTTTACTTAATATTTCTTAATTACTTTCCACAAACTTAGTTTGAATTAGTGGCGAATTTACCAGCAGGCTTGAGCCTAGGAAGGCAGATTTTTGGGGCGGCAAATTTCGGGACTGATTTTTTTGTTACATCATGAAAATCATCGTGAAGATTTTGCAATGACTTTTCTCTCTCACTTGTCATTACACATTCCAAAAGGGTAAAACATTATCTGAGATCGACCTTGAGCCAAAAAAAAATTGAACGCTCTAACTCTTTTATGCATAGAGTCAGAATTAATGAACAAGGTTATTTACGACGATATCTTCGATGATTTTGCCAACAAAAAATCGCGCAAAAAAGCTTGTATCGAACTTTAATAACATGCCTGAGTTGCTTATTTTTTACTTTCTTTTTTTACTCTCTTTCAGTGCAATGAAGGTTATTCATTCACGTTCACCAAATTTACATTATTGTAATATTGTAATAAATCCTAAATTTAATTTACGTGCAATTTCAACGAAATTTCTCAATTGAAAAATAATGTAGGACGTGACAATTGTAGAGGCAAGGGCGGCAAAAACTGTACAGCCTATAACTTAAGAATTTGTGAATCCGCCATTGGTTTAAATGCTCTATTTTTCCAAAGATAATACCCCAATCACCAGTCAGTGTTTCAAATGTTCTGAAGAACTTTTTGTGTAAACAAAATAGTAGGTATATTATTCAACGAACTAGAAATGAATTTTGTTTTTATTATTAAAGTTAAAATTGGCTATTCTCGCGAGTCAAAAAGCTTTTTTTCCAAAAACTGATCTCTCCTCAGAAATATATGTTCAAAAACATAACCTGTTGAAATCAATTTCACTTCAAATATTGTAAGATAAGGAAACATTAGCTGACTTTCGATAAAGACTTGTCTCAGATAATAATACATTAACTCATAAAACCCGCCTATTCTTTCTACTAGAACAACGGTCAGCAACAGGCGGACCGCAAAAGGTCGAACCTCGGACCGCAAAATATTGTAATATGTTGTATAGCAAGTGTAAATTAATACGTAGATAAGGTATACTATACCGTCATTAATTAAAATATTTTTGAGTCACATATAATTCAACTTGATTCTTTTTTTATTCAATAAGTTGCCTGGTCAACCTGATTTACAAGTACCTACAACTAATATGGTTTGATTAGATTCCTATCTAGCCTGTGTGAGTGTGTGTGTTTGTGCGAATTAGTTAATGTTGCGGCAGAATTGACAGATGTGGCCAAGTTGTTAAATATGTCATAGCCATCACTTCAAATAGAGATAATTGATTTGCAAGATGTTTCTTTGCAAATGTATTAAACGGTATCCAGTGAAAAATTTTGGACCAAACATGAAAATTGCAAGAAACTAGCTATAAATCTGGCCATTATGTTTGGATCAACTTACGTATGTGAAACATCTTTCTCGAAATTGTTTTTTTTTTTTTTTGAAAAACATATATCGTTCGGGATTAACAGACGCCCACCGAGGACATACGATAGAAGGTCGCCTGTTGATCTTTGTTTCCGAAAGCCATATTGATGATCGCTCAAGATGTTGAAGCCTTCCAAATATTTGAGGATATTAAAACATATATCGTTCGGGATTAACAGACGCCCACCGAGAAGACACTCTTGAATTTGCTGTTCCTATCGGGAACCAAACTATAAAAAAATGGCTCAAGACCAGCAGTATAGTTTTCACATAATTTTAAGTCTTGTGTTTTATAATTCAGAATTTGATTTGAAACCAAAGTATTGCATAGGTAGCACCTAATTATTATCCGCTGTTTTTTCTGGACCTCGTTAAAATTTTCCCACAGTATTCGGCCCCCACCCAAAAATACTTGCCGATTCCTGTACTAGAGTATGAACAAACTTTTTTCATATATATTAAGGTTGTTTTGAAAGTTTTGTCCGTTTTTATGAGTCTACTTGAAACTGTAACATCTCAGTAGATACTCATTCAATTTAATTCACTTCTGCCAACGTGTGTGCTAGAGATTCGATGACACCGACTACGGCAATTTCTGCCTGGTCCTGATTGGCGAAGGTTTTACCGTCGAAAGTTATCGAAGTGCTTAGAAACACGGTAGTCGGCTGGCGAGAGGTCTGGGGAGTATGGTGTGTGAGGCAATCCCAATTATACTATAACAATTTTCCATTGAAGGTGATTCATTAGCAACGTCGCACTTGAAGTGACTAACGGATAACCCTCTTACCAACTCTGAAGAGGCGTACCAAAATAATATTTTTATTTATTCAAACACATAGGTAATTACGTTGAAATTGTTATAGTAGGTGGCGCTACCTGGTGTCAATGGTAAAACTGATTACATTTTCTTATTATGCCTAATACAGTACTTCAAAAAAAAAACAGAAAAATTTACAAAATAATTATTATGTTCCTTTTATATAGAAAGAGAACTACAAAGCAAAGAAATAATTACCTATGTTATGCTTATGAAGTTTCAGAATCCATTGACTCGTCCGAAGAGGAATCCCCAGTCACACTTAAATCTGTTATTATTTGGTCGAAAACAGTGTCTAACATCCCGGCGAATCTCCACATTTTCTTTTCTCCCTTGATCACATGGGCTACAGCATTAGCCCAATCTTCTTTCCGTATCCGATCCATTGCGAGTTCTAATAAACGTTGGACATCAAAAATTTTATATGTCACGTTTTTACGACGTATGAAACCCTTAATTTAAGCCCGTATTAATTCTATCGGGTTTAACTCGCAATGGTAAGGCGGAAGTCTCAAAATGGTAATGCCGTCAGCACGAGCTATTGTATCCACCACATGCTGGCAATATCTGTCACGATGCTGTTTAATGACACTCATGAGCTCGGCCTTAACCATGTTTTCGGAAAATAGAATTCCTTTTTGTCCTAACCAACTCTGCATGTCTGCTTGTCTGGTGGTAATAGTTGGCAGCTGTTCTACTTATCGGCTGTGATAAGAAGCGTTATCCATTTCTATTACCGAATTTGGTTCGACTCGTGAAGAAGGGATTCAAACCATCCTTCAAAGCGTTGGGCGTCCATGTCTTCGTGATAATCCCCCGTTTTTTTTGTTAAAAAAATGTGTGCACTATCGTCTAAAATGCCACTCTCGCTACCTATATGGGCGTCAATTAGTCGTTGCCCTTCACCCGTTGGTCCGCGTAACCATGTTGATAAACCGTACCCAAATGCTTGACGATAACTAGTTACGTAGTATCTTGCCAGATTTACGGAATCGTTTGGCATATATAAATTTCAAATCTTCTTTTATTATTTTTCTTAACTTCTCTTTGTTCATTTTTGGAATGAGATTATTGTCCATTACCTTTGTCCTAATGGATTCGAGGGTTGGCGCTTAATTCTCAAAAAAGAAAGAATGAATGGTACTCGTCCAATTCAATTTCTTTTTACCACGACAATGTACTGTTGGAGCTTGCACAATCCCAGTCACCTTTTTTTCACGTACAATGCTATCAATTGTCGACACGGATATTCCCGTTAAAAATGAACACTGGGCTACAGCTTCCACTGTACGGAGTGTATTTTTTAAATTTTCGTACACTCTACAGACAATCTGTTTTTCTTCTAACGACAAAAACTTCCACTTTATTTGTACATTATTTGGACCTGCTACGGCATCTTTATTGTAAAAAAACCACATATATTTGATTTATTTCTATTTCAACTTGTATCGTTTCGCCATCTGATGATTTTTTTCGGTAACTTATCCGCCGCAATGGACACCGATTCCTGTTGTTAACAGTTTTTTACCGCCCTTAATCATAAGTAGCAACGGCTCTCATGCCCTCCGGGATAGGCAACCAATATTTCACTTTGAGGGTTTTTTGCATTTGCAAAGTATTTCCAGTGTCGGGTTTTTTATGAACGACTGTCGAGATTCTTTTTCGTCTCTAGAGACCTGAGTGAAAACGTTTTTGATGCGCCGTATTTGCTGGATTGTTCGTGCCTGTAATTATTTTAGGTGGGTAATGATTTATATAACTAAAAATGATGTAACACGTGAGTGAAGTTTTTATTAACAACTTTTAACAATTTCATTGAAACATTTGTAATTATTTCAGAACCAAGTCAACAACCAAATAAGTACTCTGTCTCACCCTCGAACTGAAAATAGACTGTTTCGCACCCTATCCTGTGTCTCATTGGATCAGCAGCAACCCCTTTCAACTTACCTCAAAAACTATTTTAAAGTTGATGTATTTTGAAAAACACTTTGTTTTGAGATTTTCACTAGAATAGAATAACAAATCCGCAATACGTGTTTCGCTGCACAGTAGCTTTTTCAAGCGTGTTCACTAACAAACTGAATTCTACATACATTGTGATTTATATATACTTTTTGAAATATTACTATCTACCTAGAAACTAATAATATTCTAGGAACTAATTAATGACAGTTATACCTCAGTTTAAGGAATATTCATATGTGAGTTTAATGACTAAGTTTACTAATTATCTCACAATAAAGTGTGAATGTGATGAGAATCTATGATAATATATTTTGAAAAACAAATATCGGCCAACTCTATCTTATATTTTGAAGTTGATAAATATAAAAGTCTATTTAATAAATATGATAAAATATATTTAATGAATACAAAAAAAAGTTACCTTCACAAGAAACAGAACACACTACACCTATGCAGATAAGGACGCTTGATAATGAAGAAACCGAATGACTATTTATGGCATTTTAAAGACGCAAATATAATAGACCTGCGAAGTGTTGATCAGTTTACCGATGTTTCAAAGTATTTAACGAAATGGTTCACCTATTCGCTCGTACATCCTATCGATATGCAGAAGCTATCTTGTTACGGGGGCCAATTTTATGGAATCATCTTACTTTTCAATTATTCACAATGGCGATGCATAGACAATAAAAATGACCCCGGTAAGAATTTAGTTCTAACATTTAACATTGTTGCCGTTAGCTCTCATTTCAATTTGTATATGAGTTACCTTCAATTGAAAATTGTTATACTATAGTTTCGGGCGGAAATTTGTTAAACGTGGGGACGAGCGTTTTCGTGGAGCAGCTTCAGACCTCTTATGTTGACCCGTGATGGCTGCTGCTGACGCAATTTCCAATATATTACAACCATTTTCCCTACAATATGACTCTGTTGTGATGGTTTGGTCCGGTTGCCAAATTTTAGTGAATTACACCAGCTGCTGACCACCATACAGTAACCATAGTCCTTTTTGGTGGGTTTTCGCCTTTGGAAAGTGCCTGGAAGGCTCGTGGGTATCCAACCACTGTTCTGAACGTCTCCTGTTTTCGTAGAGGATCCACCTTTCATCACACGTGACGATCAGATACGGAGAAGGGTCATTTTGGTTGCGCAAAGGGAAAGAAGAACTGACTTCGAAACGTGACAATTTCTGTAGATTGTTCCAATCGTGGAGCACCCATCTTTTCAGCTGTATGACCTTCCCAATGTAATTTGAACTATAATAAATCGCATGGGAGCTAATGCTCAGGTCTTCCGTCACTTCACGCAGGGTCCTCAAATTCTCGTCCCGAATTACTGTAGATCGAGCACTTTGGGGCTCATCTTCAAGGATGAAATCCCCCGAACGAAATTTCACAACCCAACGTTAAACAGTGCGTTCATTAACACTATCATTGCCCAATGCCTGGTTACCTTTTCGGGCTGTGTTGACAGCTCTTTGGTTCAATTTGAATTCGTAGAGAAAAGTTGGTCGAAAATGACTGAAAATAAGCTGAAAGGAAGCAAAAAATTGAGATTTGGAGAAAAATGAAAATCATCAATGTATGGAGTACACAATTCTCTATGGATCAGTGGAATAAATATTCATTGAGATGAAGCTACAAAAGTACATGACATTAAAACGAACAAAACTTTTGAAAGAACCAATATAATGGATAGATTTTTTGTTTTGGTTTTTACAACTCCTAATGAGAACCATAAAATTGGCTGTTGATTTTTATATTTGTTGGTAAGTCATTTCAAACTCCCAGGTTGATTAAATTACATTCAAATCATTGAAAATGATCAAATAGATGTAAGTTTTTGTATCAGATATGTTTTTTTTTAATCCGCAAATAAAATGTTTAATTTAATTGTACAATTTTTTGTTCCAATTTTCAATCTACCTTATCTTATCGTGACTTCTCAGTAAGAATTAGAAAAATCGGTTGTTATGAGTATAGGTCAAAACTCGCTTTAATATATCAACAGTATGGTTGGCTCTCGCAGATTATATCTCAAAAGAATTTTTTTTTCAATAATGACTAATATATGAAACATTTTTTTTTTATGAGAAAGTATCATATGAATTTATTATCCAGGTCGAAATATTCCAAAAGTCATGGAGATACTACTTTTGGTTCTGTCTGTTACTGGAGCATTCGGTTATTTACCAGCAGTAAAGGTGAGTACATTTGGATATTGAATCAAACCAAGCAATAATGTGTACAGAACTCATTCATTTTATTTGGCAAAAATTGTTTTCTGCAGATCAAATCAATTCTACGCTAATATTTCACTACTACTTATAAATGGGTTCGAGATTTGAAAGAAGATTCACGAGCTCGTAGCATAAATTGAACATTGGCATGGAATCAATTTTTCTAATGAGTCTCTATAAAGACTTTTGGATAAGAGAAACTCAAAGAAATCAAACTTCTCAAGATCATAGCTTAACATTTCAAAGCAAGTTCTAGGCACATATATGATATCGACCATACTCTCTATTCGATCATCCCAAGTTTTGTCTATCTATTCCAATCCTAGAATATGTTTTCTGAGGCAGGAAAGTAGTTAATAATTTACCCATTTCCTACTAGTTGATTTCATATTCGTTAGGTTTCCATTATCGAAATTTTTCATCATTTTTGTAGAGTTCGCAGAAAGGATGGTTTCCTTATTTAAAAAAATATATCACCAAATTTGATTCTCTTGTGACGTAACAAATTTATTTTGGTTGTACACTTCGTTTGGTCACCTGTGTGACAATAGCAACATATCATTGTTAGATTCAAATGCCACAATCCTAAAATACCTATCTATCTAGGTTCTGACAAGAACTTCAACTGAAGTGTTGTAAGTCAATTGTAAACACCAACTGCCTTGAAATAAATGAGCTGACTTTAATTTTGAGGTATTTTTTTCGCTTCTTCCTAAGTAGAACAAAGACTGTTCTGCTATTAATAGTGAGTCCTTCATTTCTACTTCAGTTTTAGATTAAATTTATTGCATGGCGCCAGCCCTTAATGGTAAAAACCGGATCATCGCCATAACGTGAAGCCTACTTCTTCAGATTTCTGTATCTGTAGAGTAGGGAGGGTGAGTGTAAGCCCACAGCACTTAGGCCACATGTGACCCATTGTACATCCTCCCGAGGAGTTGTATTCCTAGGTCATCGTCCATCCTGTCCTTTCCAGGAAGGTGGACAGGTCACTGGAAGACATCTCTTTTAAATCGGCCGGTGTAGGCCAAGACTCGCCGAACACACACTCTCTTATTGACAATAACTCCGGACACTCGCATAGGTCATGTCTGACAGTCTCATCTTCCTCATCAGGCCGTAGGTATCACTGGGTCCTAAAATTTTTAGTCCAGCCACTTCCTTGGCTAAAGAGTCGGCAATGAGACTGCCTTTACTCCTGTCGGGCCCTTCAACCCACCTCAGGATAATGTTTTTATCTACCAAGGCTTATGCTAAATCTTGGTGGCACTCTAGTACTAGCCCTGAGGTAACACGTTGTCAATGAAAATTGTTATGTTTTTGTGAGAAATTTCTTTCCTGGTTATTTCTTTTGTGGCGATTGAGATACCAGCCAGTGCTGTTTGGACCACGCTGGTATTTTTTCCCATTCCCCGCTTAATCCTTAGGCTCAGTGATCTGGAGTGAACTCCACATCCTAATCGAACTTGTTCAGATTTATTTCCAGGTTTATAGGAATCAGGACCTCATCGAAGAAGATACCAACTGCCTCAAGAATATTTCTCATAGTTACTTCAATTGTATCCTCCTGTATAATATATGTTTCTCAACATTAACCTGATACATTCTAATACCACGTCTGATACTTTCGGATACCATCTGCCTGATACGTTCTGATACCATCCGTCTGATAAATGAGAAGTGTGTATTTCGTTCCTTTGGTGATTCAACCATGGATTTGTGTAACTTAGTGTGTAGCAATAGTGGTTCATCTACTATAGTCGTGTATTCTCTGAAGTGATGCTGATGGGGTGCTAGGAATTGAAAATTACAATTGAACGACTGTTCGTTTTGGGTATGAACGCCATAAATATTCTCTTCATATTATAATAATGATATTAATAAGAAATGGTATTTATTCTTATCTTGGCAGAGTTTAGCTTACGCTAGTCTACCACTCAACTCTCAATGGAGAGTTATTTGAAAACTCATCATAATAACGCAAGAAAATGATATCGTTTCCTAACGCCAAAGCTTTCAATAGTCAATTTAATTTTTTAGGTTGTAAAAATTTTGTTACACAAGCTCGTGCCGAATATATTCAAGCTTCTTGTAGCTCCTTAGAATTGGATACTTTGAGGTACTTCTTACAAACCCATCTTGGTCCAGGAAAATGTTTTTGAAAGCTTAAGTAAGCTCATCCTGCATTTTCTTGGCTCTTTCCTTTTCAGTTTCTCTATCAATTCGAGACATTTTTTCAGTAGAGGGCATTGAACTCAGTAAGTCTTCTATGGTACAAAAGAAGTATTTATGGATATACCCTTCTGTTCTTCAGGTGACACTTTGATTCATGTTTTATTTCCTTGTGAGCTGCCTGAAATTTTTTAAGATGTGAATACATATAGAAACCAGTGTTCACAAATTGTTTTCACATCAAGTATCTTGATGTATTTTAATTTTGCAAAATCATGTCAGGTAGTTATTTTTGCTCCTTCAAGGATTTGGTTTTTCACCTGTCAAATGAAATTTGGTTGACCCGAAGTTTGTAGATGAAGATTTTTTATCATCCATCTTAGTGCTTGTTTTTATCCAGGATTTGTATGTAATCAAATTCCAAACATTTTCGTTAAGTTGCTGCTTTTGAATACTTGTAACTTGTTTTGCAGAACAATTTTCTCTCTGGATATTTTCTACGCGATCTCGTGAATCGCATAAATGGCAAAGGAATTTCTGAAGGTGATGGAGTGTCATACCTTGATTTCACTGATGGATTGTCTATGGAATCGAGATCAGTGAATGGCGGTCTGGAGGAAGAGCCTATGTTTCCTTTAGACTATGATGCTGTGGGGAGTTTCAACATACACCCCAGTATAAGAGATCAAGAATATCTGCAGCACAGCAGTATTTGGGGAAAACAGGTGATAGTTTTATATTTGCTGCTTTTTTTTTAATTTCCAGTTCTGATAACTGGTCAATTTTGTCGCTTTCCGGAAAAGATGTGAATTGGAATATATTTCTTACTCTTCTTTCAGTTTATCTCTGGCGGGGCTGGAGAGGGAAATCAATTACTCCGACCGGAAGGAATGCAAAATAAACAGGAAGTCAAAACAGATTCCACTCTGCCGGCTTATTGTAACCCTCCCAATCCCTGCCCTGTAGGATACACAGGTGAGTTATCTATACTTCAGAATTATTAAACGGTTTAATCTAACCCGCCCTGTTTGTTTAGGTTAAATTTAGTAATTTAAGTTTGCCCCTCTTCCTGTTGACAGATTGATCTGATACTTGGTACACATATTCAGTTTTGATGACAATACAATTTAATAAATTCTGTTCCATTCTAAATCCAAGATGCCCACAACTACAAAATGGCGGATCACAAATGATTTCATAACTCCTCAATATGGGTATCAAATGACAGGACTTGACTAGTACTTACTATGTATTATAGAATAGTATATTATGGAAGAGATGCAAATCCAATATAATCTATACAAAGAAATTTTTCAACTCAGCATCGGGATACGAACATGGACCTCCCACCCAAGTCAAGATTTTGTATCACGTCGAGGACTGTGGTCCTCGACGTGATACAAATACGTTAGGATGGCTAAAAATGATACATCGTTAACCATACACCACCCAAGTGGTGGTGGTGACTTGGGTTGGCAAATTTGGGGTGGATTCGGAAGTTGGGTTGATTTGCTGGGTTAACTCATTTTGGGTGGAAGAACTTAGAGGTTGGGTTAGGCCATTTGGGCTAGACTTGTAGGTTGGTTTGACTTATTGGGTTAGCTCTTTTGGGGTGGGATGAGTTGAGTTAGACAGTTTGTAGGATGGACTTGGACTTTGGGTTGGTGACTTGTTGGGTTAGGTTCGACGTCAGGAAATTTAAGGAAAAAAATGTCGTTTTCATTGGAAAAAATATGTGGATTAGTCTTTAAAAATACAATTATTTAGGATTTCGAAGATGAATAAATTAAAAAGCATTTTTCAATATTCAATAAGAGAAATTGTGGGTTTTGGTTTGTTTACCGAAAGCAAATATGTTAAAAAAATTGTAATTTTTATTTAACAAAAGCAAATGACAACAAAAAACGTCGTTTTACATCATCAGAAAGGAGTTTTGGGTTAGCTCATTTGGAATAGATGGACTTGAAGGTTGGGTTGACTTATTGAGTTAAGTTCGACGACGAGAAATTTAAGAAAAAAAGATTGTGTTTTTTGGGGGAAAAATGTTGCGGGTTAGTCTTTGAAAATGTGATTATTGAGGATTTCGAGGAGAAGTTATCAAAAAAACATTTTTCATTGAACAGAAAGTGCGTTTCGGGTCGTTCTCAATAGCAAAAATTCTAATAAAATTGTAATGTTCATTCAACAAAAACAAATGATATTAATAAACGTGGTTTTCCATCATCAAAAAGCGGTTGTAGGTTGAAAGGTGCCGAGAACCATGAGGCATTAAGGTGGATAAAAATTAAAAACTGAAAACTTGAAAATGAGATAGGTCAAAAAAATTTATAATAAACGGTTTTAATGAAAAAAAATTAATAATGATGTTAATAAAGTACTAAAAGCTAAATAATAATTCGGAAGATCCTAGGTAGCAGTCATCACACCACTCTCCTCAGCAATCCACAGTAGCGATCAGATGAAAAATAATGAAATTTTTATGCGTAGCGTAACTTTAGTAAATATTTAAATACTACTCCCAACGATTTTATGATTTTTTCATCTTATCAATAGCGTAGATTGCTGAGGAGAATGGTGTGATGACTGCTACCAAGGACCTTTCGATTTTTTTATAACGATTAGTACATCATTCACATCAACATTATCTTTTTTATCAATAAAACCGTTCAACATATTTTTTTTACTTATTGTATTATAAACTCTACTTCAGAAGTCGAAATTCGTATTCATTAGATTGGATTCGGAATTATATAAAAAAGTGGGTTTTGATGAATTCACAACACCCAAAAAATTGAAAGTTTTATTAACAAAATAAAATAAAAAAGAAGACATTCAGTTTCTCGTTAATAACTCAGAAATGAAAGATTCTGAAAGAGGGAATAATTCAATAAAGAAGTCCCGACTTCTGGAATTCTATTTCCATAATTTTAATCAAACGACGAAAGAAGAGCTCAACGAGGCCATTACGTCATGGATATGTTGTCGCAGAAGACATTATAAATGGAATTATTGTTCATAGTATTCAATATAAATGTGAAAATTTGAATAAATCATATGTTATTTGAAGACTTCAGAGAGTCTCGTTGAAGAAGAATGTTTATACAATTATTAACTATTTTGTTCCTGTTCTTATAAATGGCTATATGAAATTTCAAATAATTGTCGTGGGAAATGTTTGCATTTTGGAGCCTTTTCCATACGGATTTGTTAATAAATCTTCAATTAACAAACAGACGAGTCCAGTACATGATAAATACCATCATCATTACGAAAAAATAGAGATTTTTGAACAACAAGATATTCATTAGCCCTTTTCATTGTTTTTTTCCATTGTTCGTATATTTTTTTGCCTCGAAGAAGCCTCGAATATTAGCCACGAAGTGTTCGACCTACAGTAATCCAGGACGAGGTTTTGAAGACCCTGGTGGAGACTGACCCATCACAAATGGTACGTGGGATGGCGGAAGAACTAGGCGTCAGCGGTTTTAGGTGGTTTAAAACGTATAGGAAATGTCAAAAACTCACAAAATAGTTGCCCCACAATTTGAGCGATAGACAGCTATTGTCACGTTTGAGGTTTTTGCTCAACCAAAACGACCCTTTTCTGTATCGAATCGTCATCTGTGATGAAAAATGGATCTTCTGCGACAATAGGAGACGTTAAAGACAGTGGTTGGATACCGGTGAGCCAACCACGTACTTTCCAAAAACGAAAACCCTCCAAAAAAGACCATAGTTACTGTATGTGGTGAGAGGGTGGTGTGATTCATTATAACTTTCTGCAACCTGGCTGCTGCGTCAGCAGTATCCGACACTCCTCAGCAGACGTGATATTAACGGAAAACCAAAAAAAACATGTGGGAATATCACTTAGTCCTGATAAAATCAATGATTATTCTTGTTTGATCGCAAAAAATCTTGGTGAGAATATAGTGGTACTTTACGATCCCTTAAAAATTCTTGAAGATGTCAGAATTGAGGATAACCTAACATTGTACGATACAAGTATTAGTGAATTACTAGAAATTTTGAGGAATATAAAAAATAAAAATGCAACTGGCTATGATGGAATCTCCATAAAAATTATTCAAAATCTTCCAACTGAGGCACTGCAAACATTGGTATCTCTAATCAACACCTCTTTCCACAATGGAATTTTTCCTGATTTTCTGAAAATATCCATTGTCCTTCGATTATATAAAGGTGGAGATTCAAATGATCCCGCGAATCTTCGCCCGATCTCTCTCATTCCAACTATAGCCAAAATTATCGGAAAACTTGTGAAAATACGTCTGACAATTTTCCTACAACACCAAAATATTTTAAGTGAAAGCTAGTTTGGTTTTCAAATCAATAAAAACACGCACGATGCCATCTTTTCGTTTCTTTATGATATTTACACCAAGTTTAATTCTGGTAGTGTAACAGCTGCGGCCTTTTGTGATCTTTCTATGACGTTTGATTGCATTAATCATAAGATCTTGCTAAGAAAATGGTTTGAATCTTACCTTTCAGGAAAGAATCAAATGGTAAGAACAACAGGACTTTCAGAAAAAAAAAGGAAATTTCCTGTGGTGTTCCACAAGGATCAGTTTTAGGACTCATCTTATTCTCATTATATGTCAATGACATTGGAAATTTGAGCATTTCTGGAAATTTAACTCTTTTCGCTGATGACACGACGATATTGTGGAACAACAAAAACTCAAATGATTTATACAATGCAATATCTACTGATATGAAAACAATCAATGAGTGGTGTGATGCTAATTTGCTATCCTTCAATATCACTAAAACAAACATTTTATCATTTAGATGTGATCTTGATGACCTGTCATTCGGTGATAACTTAGTGATCAGGAATCTAAATTTATAGGTATTCACATTGACAACAAGCTCAAATTCATTGAGTATATATTAAACGACTTAAAATTAAAATTTGTTCTGGATGTTATGCAGTGAGAGTAACTTCAATAAATTTGGGAATCAAAACTGCCAGAACGATGTATTACGCCCTCGTTGAATCCCACCTACGTTATGGAATACCGTTTTGGGGAGTATGCAATTCATCAAATCTTCTGTCTGTATTAGTACTGGAGAAACAGGCTATCAGGTATATGTGTAAAATTGAACCTCGTGATTCATGCAGACACAAATTCGCTGAACAAAAGATGGTTTGGAAACGGTTTGCCTCATTTACAAAAATATGTCTCTATTTGAGGCTTCATGTCATTTTTATAGCACCCGTTCTACCGTATTGAAATTGCCAATTCCTTTAACAAATTTGGTCAGGAATTCTATTTATTACAATGGGGTCAAGATGCTCTCACTTGCCCTCAGATATAAGACAAGCAAATTTGACCAACAAAATGTTTAGAATGAAAGTAAAAACATTTCTGGCTGATAGACCCTATTATAATTTGCAAGAGTTCTATAATGATAAATTTACGTGACAAAATGTGCATATTTGAATTCAGGTTATATAAGATTTTTGTTTATATTTTTGTTTTGATATAAATGTTTGTTTGTCTGGTTCAATGGGTGTGTTTATTTATGTTATATTATATATAAGTATTTATATATGAAGTGTTGATAATATTTTTAAACAAGTCTGTACACAACCATGTTGAGAAAAAAATTTCGATATTGAACTATAGTGTATGTTCTAACTTTACTTTTTTATAGGTGTTTTTATATTCACATTTTATATTTCTATACTTACATTTGTATGTACTTTTCACAAGTATTGTCCACAAGATTTATTCTTAATGACAATAAATTATATTAGTATTATTATTATTTTTTTTTCACCGTAGTGTGCGCTGGTCAGGCCCTATTCCCCGAAGCTCCGATACATTCGGGAGGGCGCGCCAGCATTATCAACCAATGACCACTCCCCACACCGTGGGGTAAGTGATCATTGGGTACGAGAATCATGTGCCCTGAGCAAACGCAGCGAGCCAAGAATGACAGCCTTCTGCATCTGTGCGGCTAAGATTTCTGCCTTAGTGCGGCAAGCCGGTATGATCTTAAGATTCGAGAGTAGAGAGGACATCATTCCACCAAGGACTCCAATAATCAGAACAACCATCTTGACAGAGTGATCTGGATAGAGTCTGCGGTGTTCGAAGAGAAAATCTCGATATGTTATCCGTTTATCCTCCTCTTTTCTGACGATATTCGTCTCGCCAGGAGCTGAAAACTCCACGACAAATATCGTTTTTCTCTGGTGATCGAGAAGGACTACATCAAGCTCATTAGCTTGTATGAGCCTGAGGGCACTTCTCGTTCCCCACAACGGATTCAATATCCCCCGAAGCATAGGGCAACACCGGTGTCTCGTCAATACCGTAAGAGTGCCGTATATGGTGATATAGCACTCTTAAGGCCGCGTTATGTCGATGGATATAGGCCGAGACCGCATATGCTGGGTCTGGTGCATTAGGGTCTCGGGCGCCTCGCGGCAGGCCCTGTGTCAGGAACCTCTATACCCATCACGCGTCTGCGGTAGACTAAGGTGTTGAAGACACCATCCTGGCAAGCCATGATGAACCCCTCAGTTTCCGATTTCAGCCCTCTCGATCTGAGAAAAGCAAACGTCAGGCGCTTTGATAAGCCAAGGTCTCCAATGTTATTGAAGAAGACCCCATGCAGTGGCTTATCCTTGTGTCTCTGCAGAAGTAAGGTGATCTCTGCGGTTTTTATCTGAGCTTTTTGCTGAACGGGTTCCAACTCGGTGACAGAGTTGTGGTCACCTCGTTCAGAGTCGAAAACAATACCGAGTTCATCAGCTGCTCGGGCAGCTGCCCTAAAGAGAAATACTCCAATTCCTGCTCTCTCATGATCACAGACCATGCAGAGAAGCGGATCCGAACTCCTGACGACTTTACAGGCTGTATCCAGTACAATTCTGTCATGTAGACACTCCAAACTCAAAAGTCCACGGCCTTCCTGTTGTCGGGGGAAGTACAACCGTGGAACGGACGATTTGGAATGCTAACTCCTATAGAGATGCATCATTTTTTGGGTGTTCACTTCGAGTTGATACAGCTCCTTCCGCTATTATTATTATTTTCATTAAGAGATTTGATGCTGCCCACGACAGCACCCGTTTGCACGTTTCACAAATCAACGTCCGAAAATCAAACGAATTGAGCGTCGACATTCTGCTTCACCCACCATACTCCCCAGACCTCACGCCAGTCGAACACCATCTTTTCAAGCACTCCGATAACTTTCTCACCGGTAGTCGGACGGTAGCCGGTCGGTTCGACGTGGGTACTTTGTTCACTCCCTCAAATTGACCGCCGTGTTGGTCGCTGGTTCAAGTCCCAGGCTGAACGCGCAATTTTCACTTGCTATCGTTCAACCCGTGATATGAATCACACGTTAAAAGGTAAGACCTGGTTAACGAAAAAACAGACAGAACCTCCGCCAGTCAGAACCAGGCAAAACGGCCTTTGTCGAATCCCGAGCACATAACTTTTATGCTGATGAAATTAATCGACTTGTTACGTTGTCAAAAGTACAATGATTCAAATGGACTCATTCCGATTGAATTGTGATGTTCACTGTGATATTTCAGTTTGAAGTAGACTGATAAAAACGGAAAAACTTTCGAAACAACTAAAAATCTGTCGGATCACTTCAGAAATCAACCTTGTTAGTTTGATTCCAGCGTCAGAAACTTACTTTACTTTGATAATGGTTTCAACTTCATAGGAAAAATTGAAAAATTTCAATTCAATAAAAATCTCAGTAACAAAAGTTGTATATTCTTCAAAAACTTTCTTATTTTGCAGAAGAACAAGGATGCATAGAAGAATTCGAAAATTCCGCCAGTTTCAGTCGCAGATATCAAGCATCTCAAGATTGTATGTGCGACACGGAACATATGTTTGACTGTCCCAATTCTAATAATATCGATGACGACGATAATATGGATATGATAGACAATTTTGGATTCAATGCTTTGATGAAGGTGAGATAAAAATCAATTGTATTCCATGAGATCGTTGATCCAATGAAAAGATTCATTTGAAGTCTCATACGTACTTCTGAAGATGAACGAGAAACATTTTGAAAATCCTACAGTTTGTCTGATACTTTGAAACTACGATTACTAGAAACAACACGAATGAAATGTAAATCCTCTCAAACAAGCAATGTACTTCAATGATATTCAAAAATTACTAGTTTGGTGAACCACCAATTTTTTTATCATTCCATCTCCTGATGGGAGGTTCTCTACAGCTAAAATAAATATTCCATCATCAAAAATCAGTAAGTCGTCATAAAGCACGGCTAAGTTTAGGTATGCCTATAAGTTCAAATGTAGATTTTCTAATAACGAATGAATTCAAATAAATATTTCATTTTTATCTTTTTAATTTTTGGGTTTCACTATTATACGATTAGAATCACGTTTATGGACGTATTCTCTGTATAGTATTAGGTCGGCTTATATCTTGAGCCCCCTTAATTCACAAATTTGATATGCATCGTATAGTATTTCCAATACCAATTGGAACAGCACAGAGAAGGAATTCCCGCCTCGACATAGGCGTCGGCATATTATTTTTCAGTGGTAGTTTTTCAGTTACTTATTTTTACAATCATAGCAATTGATCACCCCATGAAAAAGTTATCTCAACTGAATGTTTCCACCATGGATAATTATGAAAAACTTCGAAATTCAAGGTAGTTGATTTCCGAGTCGAAAACTCTAAAATACAATGAAAACACAAATAATCACACCGAATTCTCGTCAAACATATATTTACAAAATAATAGAGGCCAACAAAATTGCTACAACAATCAAAATTCTTCTTCGCTATATTCGGATGAGGTGGAATCATCATCGGGTTGAATAACGATCGGATTTATGGAACTTTGCACATAATATTTGTTCTCTTCTTTTATAACGTGGGCCACACAGTTCTTCCACACATCACTATTACCTACTTCATTACCACTCGCCTTATATTGTCAAGCACCACAGCATTCAAAGTCGGTGACTGATTACATTTCCGCAAGCTTTCTTTCATTGTGGCCCAAACCATTTCAATTGGATTGAATACACAATAGTATAGAGGCAAACGTAAGAGAATGAAAAGGGAAATGAAAATTTCTATGTTTTTTACCACTTTAATTTGTAACTAACGTTTCTGCATCGGACCAAAAAACTTTAGGTATATAAACAGCTAACCCTTGTCTTTAGATTCAGTATCAATTTGCTTCTCTTGAAGATGCTAACCTTGTTAGCGAAACGCGCGTCGAGTGCAAAAATATCAGTTTGGTGTTAGGGTAATTGATCTCTAGAAGAAGTTTTCAAAAATCGGTTTGAAAAACCACTCACTACCTCACCTAACCCCACGAACACACGGCACTGATAAAGAAATATTTTGAAACGGACAAATAATTAGTATTCAGCCAGTCCAGCTAGCCGAGCCTTTATTCTTCAACTACATCTGATAGCACGTTTACTAACTATCTGGGCGACTAGGGGCCACAGGCCAGAAATGTTTATGACTGTACCAGGGACGCTTTGAACATAAAAGCACTGGTAGTATATACATTTCCCATTTGCCGGGTAGGGAGATAAAACTGTTCTATCTTCCTCTTGAAGATGATCACTTGGTGATCGAAACACGTGTCGAGGTGTAAAAATAACGATTTGGTATTGGGAAAAAAACTCCAGTAATATTCATTAGTGAGCAAGGTAATCCTTCAGTCGCAGAAATCCACTACTTCGTAGTCTCTCAAATTTCAGCAATACTGATCAAAATACCAAGTACTACAAACTACCAAGTACCAAAACAAACAGAAAACCAGAGTCTATGAAAAAGTAATATGCATTGAAAAAGCATTTCGAGTTTAATTAAAGCTAAGCTTATAGTCAAGTTCATCAGTCGCTATGGAAGCAACATTTGGAGTAAGTGCCCCTTTTTGCGTACCATGCGGAGAGTGAAATCTAAACTCTTGGTGATTTCAGAGGCTCCAGCCAGTACCATTCTGATTCGTAGGCACCGTAAGCAGTATAACCAGCTCGATGGTATCGAATCTGTTGAATATGGTGTACTACATGGGTCAAACCCAAGACCACTACTGTTCAAAATGTTCATCAATGATATCGGAGCTGAGATTAGTGTTAATTCCCTTTTATACGGAGATGACTTGAAACTTTATCACAATATAACATGTTCTAATGATTGAGAACATCCCGCTCTGAATTTAAATCGTGTTGTTAAATGGTGTCGGTATCTCTCAACATATCCAAATGTAATGTAATGTCTCACTCGCTGAAAATTAATTTGACATTACACAACTAGGTACGTTATAAAAATCAAGTTCTGGAGCGTCCTGATACAATTCCTGATCGAGCTGTCATTTTTTATTCATCCCAATAAACATATTGACACTACTCTGACAGATGCTCATCGCATGTATGGATTCTAAGTTAGAAATACATACAATACTGACTAAACTGTCATGCTTTTATAGTAATTTGAATTCCAATCCTAACCTAACAAATTTCTACCTGATGAATTCATTACATAAAATATTTACCTTTCTAGGAACAACTCATTAAACTGGAGTTTTTTTCCTGTGACCTCATTTTACCTATTTTCAATATCTTTCTATGTTACCAATTTCATCATTGAAAAACTAAATTCAATAAAGGAGAACAATTCAAATATATTTAATCATTGAGCAATAATCCAGAATTCCTAAACCTTCATTCAAAAAGATTGAGTTCTCAATCTTTTTCTCCCAAATGTAATACGTCATAATCTTGGTTGAACTCATGACTGTCAAAAGATGGTTTGTGAACGTTGAACAACCCTATACATTTTCCAGACTTGAAGTAGCAGCATTCACTATTATGACTATTGAATATTTCACTTCCACAAAACAATTTTCAAATAGAACTCAGTTTCATCAAACGAATTGCTGTCAACAACGCTGTCAACTGTGGCAAGGCTGTCAACTTTTGCATCGCTGTCAATTCTTGCAACGCTGTCAATTGTTGCAACGCTGTCAACAATTGCTGTCAAAACAATAAAGATAAAACTGAACATTCAACTATATTTATCAGGTTGCATTTGAATAATTTGAATTTTTTCATTTTCATAGAGTAAGAAGATCAACCCATTCCTAACTGGCGAAAAACTTCCAGTGGCAGCCAAAAAAGGAAACAATGTCATGTAAAAACCTTGAACAAAACAAAGGACAGGCGGTCCCAACCACTACACAAGAAAAAACTCTCGACTATGGCTATGAATAAGGTGATCCTTCGAAGAATAATAATAATCAACTCAAGTCCTCACCCGTGTACAACAAATGTGTTTCAAATAAATCTAGATAGTAGTTGCTTTCCGTGCAAATGTGTCTTCATGATATAAAAGGTACCCATACTGTTAGAGTTAGGTGAACCACAATCCCAAGTACGCAATTCTCATAAGAATGATGAAGTCTAATCAAAGCGACCCTTTTGACGTATCACGGAGGAGGTGGCCAAAATTATCAACTTGAATCATGTTTTAGGCCCTATTGATTTCAGCTCATTTCCCAATTCACCATCAAATTCATGGACCTGAACTGAAATCAGAACATAATTTAAGTAGATTTTCAACTTCTCATCCTCACGGAGTCAAAATCAATCCAGACTGAAGGGGTGGTATAACAAAAACCGTTTTTATTTATAAGCTTTACTTATAAGGTTATATAACTGTATCTAATTCAAATAATTATGGATGTTGTTGAAGTTGAGATTCAGGCATTTTACCAGCTGCGGCTGACTTGTTTTCTTGATATTTGAAAGCACTGAAACCGACTTATGTGGGTATACCAGTTATGAAATAAATGTATTCTCTTAATGCAAACTTCTATTTTTGTTTCTTTTCCGTCTTCACTTTTTCAGCTTTGGGACAATAAATTTATCCATATATCGGGTTGTTTCAAAATATTGGTCCGTTTTAATGAGTCTACTAAAAACTATAATATATCCGTGAACACTAATTCATTTCAGTCTTAATGAGCGCATTTTAAGTCAGTGTAATTTAGCTAACATAACACATGTCGAATATTTTCGTCACCGTGAAATTGATTGCTCATGATTCGATGAAGTCGACGAAGGCCGCTTTTGCCTGGTCCTGGTTGGCGAAGGTTCTACCGGTGAGAAAATTATCGAAATGCTCAAAAAGATGGTAGTTGGCTGGCGAGAGGTCTGATAAGTATGGTGATTTGTGAAACATGCGGACGGGCGTTGTCGTGAAGCAGGGTCGGACCTACAGTGCCGGCTGCTGCTGAATCAAATTTCGGTATATTTCGTCGATTTTCTCACAATAGGACTCTGCTGTGATGGTTTAATCTGGTTGCAGAAAGTTATTATAGGGGAGTCCAAGCGAGGATTTCGGGATTTACTAAAGCGCGGCAGATTAATATACAGGGGGATACCTTGTACCCGGTTAAGTACCTACACCAAATATGGGCCCCATATATAAGGCCACCTGTGAGGGATAAAGGATCAGATTAATAAAAAAAATTGATCATCAGAAATTCTCGAGCGCATCAGATTAAGGTAGGGTGAGTTAATTATCTGCTTGAAAGTGTATATTCCAGTAATCTGACAATTTGAGAGTGACATAAAGAAAGGAGAGGTCAGCAAAGTTGTAAAAAATAACGTCATTTCGACATTCTCGAGCGTAAATAATTTTTTTTATTCTGAAGGAAATAATTCAAGGATAACGAAAAATATATAATCTGATGATTACGATTATAATCTGACGTTACTGCAGTAACGTTAGTTACGTAAATTGTATAAGTTTGAAAATGTCCTTATAGGACGAAACTGCAGTAACGTTAGTTACAAATAAAAGTGGTAAAAAATATAGAAAGTTCCATTTCTCTTTTCTTCATTAATTTCTCACGTACAACCACGTATATCATGCACACGATCAGATTAACATACGAATATTATTAAAAACACGTAGGACATTGATGCTATCAATATCTGACGCGCTCGAGGATGTCCATGCAACAGTATTTTTGTACATATTTAAATATCTATAGCCGCTTCCCCCACCGATGAAAAGGTATATATTATATAACATTTTTTCCTTTTTATCATCTAAGCTTTGCAACCTAATATATCTGAATGACGCTCGAGTAAATCGTGGGCTCCCCTGCTGTTATAATGAATAATATCAGTGACTGACCACCATACAGTAACCATGGTCTTTTTTGGAGGTTTCGACCTTTGGGAAGTGCCTGTGTGTCTCATCGGTGTCTAACTACTGTCCTGAACGTCTCTATTATCATAGAGGATCCACTTTTCATAACGCGTGACAATCCGGTCCTCATCGTTTCGGTTGTGTTGAAACAAAGAATAACAGACCAGATCGTTCACGTTGGGCACCCACTAATAGTAGACTCACCTCATAGGCTGCTGGAACGTTCATTGAACTGTCGAACTAGAAAATGAAGACGATAAAATCATAGTTGGAGAAGAAGAAGACAAGAAAAAATTTGGCATTCAGAATAACTAGCGATTCAGATTAGATACTTTATATTCATGAGGAATGAAAGCAATTACACGTGTTCTGCTATTCAATAGCACCCAATTAGTGCTGTTAAGATTGGAAAATTTACTGATCTGTTGAATTTTGTTTTCCAACGTAGAAATTTCATTCAATGAGTTGGTAAAATTTCTCTGATATGTTTGAATTTTTTGGTAAAATTATCAGTCAATGACAAAATGATCAAATTTTCAGATTTTTCAATGAATTTGAGGAAAAAGATTTCGATTAGAAGGTGTTATCATTTTTCAGGAAATTAAGAAGAAGAAGAAGGTGAGTATGAATTTATCTAAGGATATCGAAATCAGTTATTTTCAAAGGCATGTCATCATCATCTGTATCTGTAGAGTAGGGAGGGTGAGTGTAGGCCCACAGCACTTAAGCCACATGTGACCCATTGTACATTCTCCCGAGGAGTTGTCCTCCTAGGTCATCATCCATCCTGTCCTTTCCAGGAAGATAAATAGGTCATTAGGAGACATCTCCTTTATATCAGCAGGTGTAGGGCAAGACTCGCCGTACACACACACTCTTATTGACGATACCTCAGGACACTCGCATAAGACATGCCTGACAGTTTCATCTTCCTGTTCACACATCCTGCATAGAGGTGTGTCAACTAGCCCCATAATATTGAGGTGTTTCCTCAGTTGACAGTGGTCAGTCAGAAATCCTACTGTTAAGCGTAGGTTTTTCCTGGTCATCGTCAGATATTTATTCGGCGCCAGTTTCCCAGGGTCGCCCAGGATGATCCTGACAAGACTGCATCCTTTCATTCCATCCCATCTCTTTAGGGATTGAGCATGGGTGTGATGTTTGGCTAATTCCGCAATTGTCGAAGTCATCAGGCCTAAAATTCTCAGTTCAGCCGCTTCCTTGGCTAAAGAGTAGGCAATGCGATTACCTTTACTCCTGTCGTGCCCTTTATTCCACCTCAGTATAATGTTATTATTTACCAAGGCTTAGGCTAAATCTTGGTGGCACTCCAGTACTAGCCCTGAGGTAACACGTTGTCTGTTCAAGGCTAATAGGGCTTGTCTACTGGCAGTGCAGATTGTTATATTTTTTCCAGAAATTCCTTACCTGGTTATTTTTTTTTTGTGGCTATTGAGATACCAGCCAGTTCTGTTGGAACCACGCTGGTATTTTTTCCATTCCCCACTTAATCCTTAGGCTTAGTGATCTGGAGTAAACTCCACATCCTGAGGCTTCTTTGGTTTTTGAGCCGTCTGTATATATGCGTATTGGATTTATAGCATCTGACTCTATGTTTTGTTTTATTTGTATTTTGTAACATGGCCATTTACGCAACCTCCTTAACGTACAAATCAAAATGTTCTTTATTGACTATTCTCCATACAATTTTAAGGTATTTTTTTGTGGTGTTTATAAAATATATACAATAAGAAAAAATATATACAAATATACAAAATGTACACAAGGGTTTCCCCTATGGAGTGGGACAGTGGGAAGGATTGGGATGGGTAGTGAATGGGGTAGAGGGAGTGGCAGGAAAAGACCCCGATACATTTGCGCTCTCAAGAATTCCGCACGGAAGAGAAAAGCGCCTCCACACAGTCCCCCGATGGGGCAGTGGGAGACGCCCCCGCTGGTGTTGGCGGTTGGCTCTCCACTCAAAAAAACGCCTTTTATCAGCCTCATCTGTAGTTTTCCGCTTCCTGCCGAGGCTTACGCGGAAGTTGTCATTCTGTCGCGTTTCGGTACTTCTCAGAGAATCATTCGTCTGTTTGTTGGTAGCAGTTGTCGATAACCCCCTGGAAAAAGTTCATAAAAAAACCAGGTAAGAGTATTTCTGCCATCACGTCATCATGTGTGCGTGAATACTCTTATCCAATTTTTCCATGAACTAAGCGCGATCGCATTCGCGCCGTTCACGGTATATCTCCAGTTCTTCATAGACTAGCCCGTGCTTATGGCGCTGTCCATGAAAGCTTCTAACTGCCGTGACGTCCCTCGTCAGCGGGCTCTTCGGTAGAAAGAACTTGAAGAATTTCTGAGCCAGTCTCCTGATATGGTCGGTGACTGACTCCACTTCTGCCAGATCTTACAGATTGTTCAATGAAATGTATATGTCACTGTTAGTGCAAATACGGAGCACCTTATTCTGCATTCTCTCGAGTCTCATTAAAGGGGACTTCTTGAGACTGCAGAACACAGGACTCGCGTACAACATAGCCGGCCTAATTATTTGTTTATAAATAAGCAACTTGTTGTCAACACTGAGCTTAGAGTTCCGTGCAATGAGCGGATACGTGCGTTTTATCGCCGCACCCGCTCGTTGGATCGCCATACTCAAGTGTTCCTGGAAGTTCGGGCGCTTGTCCAGGATCACTCCCAGATATCTCGCACTCTTCTGCTCGTCAATGCACTTATCCTTAACTCGCAACTTCCTGAAGATCTTCACATTCGTGAATTTCCTCGTGAAGTTTACGAGTTCAGTTTTATCGGGATTTATTTCGATTTTATTTTGTTCGAAATACAGCACGACTAGCCTATCGAGGTGGATCTGAAGCTGCTGCTTCGCCACCTCGCTCGAGAAACAGTGCGCGTAAATCGCGGTGTCATCCGCGAAAATACCCACCTTCGAACTCGAGAACAGACAGGAACGTACAGGTCCAGAGGGGTCAGACCAGTAATTATTTCCATTGCCGCGGTTGGTGTTGTTCTCATGGCTCCTGTGATGTTTAAACAAGCCAATCGCTGTATTCGATATAATTTTTGGATGACCGATGATAAACATTAATGATGATACATCATTAATGTGTCATAATGCGTGATACACATTAATGATATCATCATCATTAATAAGTATCATCTGAAAAAAACTTTGTGTCAAATTGGTTTCTTCGGAAACGATAGTGGAATTATTGATTATCTCAGAATATTGAAATGAGTTCGGTGAAAGACATATGTCTTTCGAAGAATACATATCCTCATTATTAATATGTATCATCTCCGAAAAAACTTTTCCTAACATTGGTTTCTCTAAAACTGGTAGTGGACATGTTACAGTCAATATTCGGAAAATGCACAAGTACCAGTTAATATTTGTCCTGCAGTCCTTTTGAGTGGTATGATTTTGAGGTTAAGACTTCTGGATGTCTGACCAATATATGCTTTGTTATAGTTCATACGATATCAGAGTTTTGTTCTATTTCAATTGAATATTTTTTGGCTTTATAGTTTCTGAAAAAATGTCAATTTGGAACTGAGATTCCAAGTATCAGAGCAAGGCATTTAAGAACTTGCTGAATTCAATCGAATGATCACCTACAGGCGGGTTTTGGA